CACAGAACTCCTTTAATGAGGAAAGTGCTGGGTGAGGCAAACCTCAGGAAAGTATCTTCTTCATTTTAGGGTTCACAAATGTGAAGTTGCTGAATATATTTTGGTCCGTGCTGTTAATCAGCGCTCTGTTGGCACATGATAGTTAAGGCTTTTTGTTCAGAAATTCCTTGTCAAAGTTGCTACAATCACTGAACTTTGCTTTTGCAGATCTGGGTGTTGGGGTTTGAGGCCCTCCCCTCCTATACCATACAACTGTTCTCTGATTTAGTTTGCAATCATAGGGTTGACTTCTCCAACTTGGTTCTACAGACTGCAGCGGGCAGCACATCTGCCATCAGAGGAGTTACTGGAACAGTCCACCCTAGCACCAGGCCTTCTCCCTACTTCTTCCCCTGTCCCACAGAGATAGCTAGACAAACTATTGCCCTGCAGGTCAAAAAGGAAGGAGATTTTAAAGGGGTAAGAGCTGAAGAAAAGAGGTGGATAAAATGGGGAGAATGGAGCCCAGTGTGGCTATTTGAAGGAGCAGTGTGCTCCCTGGTGAACTGAGGGGAGGGGGTTAGTGGGTAAAGAGGAGATCGTTCCTAAAGCTATGTCTGTAAAGAGAGGAGTCTTTCTGTGGTGGGGTATGGAGTGGGATGACCCACTTATCACCTGAAGCCCTGTCTCAGCACAGCAGCAAGGTAACTACGATGCAGCCATTGGCGCATACAGAGTAATCCCAAGTGCCTTTTAAATCATTCCCAACCAAATCAGTAGCTTTCAGGGCTTCCTGTCCCATCTCTTCCAGTACCATACTTTCCAAGTACTGCAAGTCTTTGTCCCCTGGCGCCCTTGCAAAGACACAGCAATGAGGAAAAGCAGTAAGGAGCAGGGAGACAGGAAGGCAACACCGGATGATATGGTAATAGGATTGCAACCTTGTCATGGTGGTGAAGCTTGAGTGCCCTGATGGTCCTGAGAGTGATGGAAATTTTTCCTGGTAGGGCCTCCCATAGCAATAAGGTCCAAGGTGAGGTTCCAGACAAATAGTGACCCAACCCAAATAACTAGGGTAGGTAGGACTCTTTAGCTCTGGCTTGGAAATTCACCTAGGAGAAGGATACTCTGAAACTAAACCGACAGCCTGGAGATCTCTCTGCTGCCATCCTAGTTCGCTAGGCACATGAGTATCAGGCCTAAAGAGTGGGACCAGTCAGTGCAAAGTGTACTCCACTTTAAATGCCCATGCACAGGCAGGAAGGAAACAAGTCTCCCAACTCCTACAGTGCTGAGAGAGGTGAAAACAATGTCCGATGACAACCCGGAGAAGATGCAAGATGACACTGGAAGCCACAGTCCCAATCCTGCATGCAGGCAGCTCAGGAGTATGGGTCGTTCCAATGACAACCCGGAGACGATGTCATCACCCAGCAGCACCCCGTGCATCTGAGCAACCTTTTTGAAGGCTAGCACTGCTCGCTCCTAAATAGGAGAAGGGCCTAGAAAAAGTGGCCCAAAGAAATGCTCATCTCCTTATCACCCAGCTGGCTTGCTGCAGTCAGCAGGCATCTTCAAAGTGGCCAAATTACAACAAAAAAGAAAACAAAAATTCCAACCCACACCTCAAAAGGCAGGAAAAAGAAAACCTCTGCACTTTACATATTGGAATATCCGTACAATGTTGGACTCTGAAGACAGTATCCGCCCTCAGTGATGCTCAGCCTTGGTTACCCATGAGCTAGCTAGGCTAGACATGGACATAGCAGCCATGAGTGAGGTGCGCCTCCCAGAACATGGCACCTAACAGAACACAGTGCTGGTTACACCCTCTCCTGGTCAGGTAGATTGCAGCAGTTCACCTACCTGGTCAGGTAGGCGCAGCAGTTCACCTACCTGGATGGCATCATCTCATATGATACCACGGTCAACAAGGAGGTAGACAGACTCTCAAAAGCCAGTAGTGCCTTTGGCAGACTTTTCAAGCAGGTCTGGAACAGTCACAGCCTATGGGCACAGACCAAAGTTAAGGTGTACAGAAGTGTTGTTATCTCCATCCTACTGTACTGTTCTGGGTCTTATATAGGTCTTATATCACTGCTATGTACACCTCCTTGAGCGCTTTCATTAGCACTGCCTCTGCAGCGTTCTCAAGATCTGCTGGTAGGATTGTCACCAATATGCCAATAGCACCAGCATCGAGGCAATTCTCTTGCAGACTCAGCTATGGTGGGCAGGCCACATGGCCTGATGAACAACAACTGCCTACCAAAGGCTGTGCTGTACAGGGAACTGACAACAGGGAAACGTGACAGATGGGCCCCACATAAGTGCTTCAAGGACACCCTGAAGAGGTCCTTTTCTGCCTGCGGTATTGACCACTAACTGTGGCAAACAGGCTGCAGATCATGATGCCTGGCGGCTCTAAATCAAAAAGGCAACAGCCCTCTTCGAATGTCAGCGCAGAGCCAGCACAGAGGAGGAGGAGGAAAGATACGCCCTCATCTAGCAGCCATCAGCCATACACGTGTAACTGTTGCGGCAGGATTTGCCTCTCTGCAATTAGACCAGCAGGCCTGCAACCGGCATGGGCAGTTACCCTTTCTAATATTTTGTCTGCAAAGAACCGCCAAGAAGACAGGAAGACTTGTATGAAAGGAAAGTAGTCTGAAGCTAAACAAGGGGCAGTAGAGATAAAAACAACAACAACAAAACGAGAGAAGATAGGACAGTAAAGCTAGAGGGAAAATAACATTAGATGTTTCCCACTGCTGGTCTCTCAATATCAAATAAGTTTTTCCGTGCAAGAGAGTTTACCAAATTCACTAGAATACAGTTTCAATATTTGGCATAACATTAAATATTCTCTACTGTGCTGTGTCAGTGAATACCATCTCTGCTTATACATTTCCCAATATGTAAATGCTAATAGCTTATAGTCAGTAGACAGGTTCTGAGATCTCACAGCTGTAACAAACCCTCTGCGTGAGTCACTACTGATTAAGGGGTGTCTTTAACACATGCTCCCAAGAGTCACTCTAATTAAAGCCCCCAGAGCGTCTTGTGTATTCATTGTCCCCACACTTCAAAATGGCAACAGGGGCACTTTAACTAAAGCTCATTCGATGAGCTTCAGTTAAAGCACCCCGGCCACCATTTTGAAGTGCAGGGACGCTGAATACACGAGACACTGAGGCTGCTGGAGCATGCAAATTAACACGCTCCAGCAGATTCAATTGATCGAGTCTGCTCCAAGACACTGTAATTACAGTGCATCAGTCAAGTGTCCTGAGTGTCTACAGGCACCCAAGTGTTGTCCCCAATGGACAGTGAGAGTTCGTGCCCGGTGTGCTATTGCCAATGAACACACAGGGGTGGAGGATCCAACTTAATCTTTATTGTTTCCAGTCTGCGCAGAGAGGGGTGCTTGGCAATCGTTTGCAAAGCAAGCACCACCGGTTTCTACCTTTGGGTACCTTTTATACATATGTTTGCAAGTGTATCGCTCAGTGATTGGTTACAAGCCACTGACATAAGACGTTCTCTACTGAGCATGTCTCTATACCTATGTTTTAGCCATGTATTTCATTTACATACATATATGTTTCATTAACATACTTTTGCCCTGCCCAGGGGTGTGATTTTTAGCATTATAATGAGACCTTTTTCTGAACTTCTTGCTATCTTACAAGTGTCAGGGAGACACTATCCTGCTGGTGTTAGGGAGGCATTCCAGTAATCCTCCGCATCCCACACGCTGTGCTCTGCAAGCATCTCTTAACACACACATGCCATACCCCTCCCAGCATCTGCAACTTGCCTTAAGTATTCAGTTAGATATAGTTTGCAAAAGCTAGATATACCATAAAAAAGATTACATCACAAGCAGACTCCCAAATCCAAGACTAACTGCCACTGGTGAACATTTTGAAGTTGCAGCCATATATAGAGCAGATGGATATGTTTCAACCTTCAAGGGGCAGAGATATGGAAAATTATGGTGCAGACTACATCTGAAAGATAAGGACATTGTCACCGCATCTGAATTTCTTGCATTCCAATTAGCTGATGAGCGCCTTGAAGAAGGACCTTTCTGTTGCAAGGTTATACCAGTGTAATGACTAGCAGTTTGGCTCCATGGCCAGCACTATCATAATAGCAATAGTAAAAATAACCCCTTGCCAAGAAGAAATGAATAAAAGCATCAACTGCAACTTGGATCACCATAAGAGAGAGAGACTTATGCACCTCTTCACTTCTTAAAATATAGATTCTGCACTGTGTAACAAATATTACGCTTTCAACAGTACACTCCCTTTTCTTTATTCATTTACTGCCTATTGCCCAAAAGAGAGAGAGAAGAAAGCAGCTTAACACCATTTACACAAACATTTTTGCTACATGACAAGGGTTGGCAATTTAAAGCCTGCAGGCCAGACGTGGCCCACAGAATCAGGACTTCGGCAGTATTTGGAGATAAGGGGCTCTTCTTGCACTCAGGGTTTTGGCAGAGGGGAAGCTCTGCCTATGCTGTGCCATAGTCAGGCACCTGGGACTTTGGCAGAGGGGGAGCTCTCCATATGCTGTGCTGCAGCTGGACATGCAGGACTTGCGCACAGAGGGAGCTCTCTCTGGACCATGCACCAGTCGAACAGCAAGGAGAAGTAGTGAGGGTGGCTGGTTTCTAGTGCCCACGTACCTCAGACTGAGGTGGGTCATTCCAGCCCCCAGTCAGAAAACATTGCTGACCCCCCGCTGTAAGGTGATCATTTGCATGACTTGCAAACTCTGATATGCCCTGACAAACCTTTGAAGTTCTCTTCCAAGCTATCAACTGAATGCTTGCTTGCAGAAATAACTCCTCACCCTACAAACTCAGACCAATTTTGTGGCATCACCAGCTTTATCAAAACACACGTGTGCAGAATAGGTTGAATACATGGGCAGTACCGTTTAATATTCACACAAAACATTTAAAATGATCAAACCCAGTTTGTTTTCCATGTTGGTAAAAAGATAAAAGTTGACAAGCTATTATGAAAGTGTTTATTATCTTTAAACAAATATTTTACATTTTAGGTTTCATTTACAAGTAAATGGAGTGTATCCACAGTCATATGCATATTAAAACTGTTATTGCACCCTGTTTAGAAGTCTGAGACTTATTTTACCAATTACTCCCATCTCAGTGAGAAGTGGAAATTATACACACTGCCTTTTCTTAAAAAAGGCTAACTTATCCTACCCCTAATCTACATACTTATTAAAAGAAAAGCTGTAAACATTTTTGTTTTTACTTAGAGTAAAATTATGAAATGTACACTTTTGCCCACATCTAAAATGTTAACTGTACATTGTGTTTATATTCTACAAACATTTGAATAATTGTCAACATAAGACTAAGTTGATAAAAAGTGAACTGTTTATACACCTTATTTTGAAGACACTAAGTGAATGTATGTGCAAAAGGTTTAAAAACACAAAAAACTTTTTACAGTTAGAAGATACTATTTACTAACTACCATGTGAAGTATGTTCAGCCTGGAAGTGAATTGTTCTCTTATCTATTCCTAAAAAAAGGAAAAAAACCCTTACATTTTGAAACGCAACTGAAATGAACAAACACATTTGTCAATTCAAAAGGTAGGTCTACAATGACCAAATATCTCTTCATAAAAATACTGTACAAGTAGACAGGCACAAATATTTTCCAGGGAAAAATTTACAAAAATCCAGGTAAGTCTTCACCTGGTTTTCAGATTTCTTTGCACCCACGGTACACCAAGCAGTTACTTACACAAGAATAAGCAGCCAGTAGCATTGACAAGGTGCCAAAAAAGAATAAGACAGAGTTAGTGCAATAGGCTGTTGTTAACTGTTTAGTAAACAGAAATCAATTGAAACCATATCTATAAAATGCAGATGTCTTAATAAGAGGTGTTAATCCTCCACCAGGTATCTGAGGAGGACTAAATCAAGCTACAACGTGGGTTAATTTCAGCTGTACAAGAAAATCAGACTGAATGGATCTCTCCCCACTAACCTGCCCCACAAAACCCAGTTTTCTCCAGTTCACTGTAAACTGAGCTGCTTAACAAAATGGCGCACACTTTGACTGCTTCAGTTCCCACTTTAGAGTCAAAATATGAAATGTTAGCTGCAATTCTATGCTGGTATCCCAATAAAAAGTGAAAAAGTTTTGCAGTTCCATGCTTCACTAAAAATTACAATGTTGAGTTTTTTAAACCCGACATTACAACATCCTTCACTTTCAGCAAATATTTGCACAAGGACTAATTAGAATATATATATTTTTAAAAGCCTTCTGGGCCTTTCTATTCTTCTATAGTCCCAATCGAAGTAGTTTTGTAAGAAAAATGTACAGTCTTCATATCCTGGTGGGATTTAGTTTTATTTAAAAAAATCCTGAGTCTTCGATAAAAAACAAAAAAACAAAACCCCCAACAATCTTTGTGCAATCACTTAGATAACGGCCTTTCTCCAAGGACCAGAAAAATCAGCTCGTTTCAGCAGCTTGTCTAATTTCTGCCATGCTGTTGCCTAGCACAGCGTCTAAAGGAGCTCGTTTTTTACGTATGCTGCGCCCAGAAGCAATGAGATCAGCATATCCCCGCTGATGGGAGAAGGCATAGGCAGAACGACGGCCTGATATCCCTCGACGAAAAGCACTCGGCCTCGGCTTCCACTGTTCCGCCTCGATCTTGTACTTCTTACGGTTCTTCTGAATCTTCATAAAAGGAAATGGCACAATAGGTTGAATTAGAGGAGGGGATGGTTGGGGAAAGATCTCATCTGCTAACAGTATCTTGGAAAATAATGTGCTGCTAAGTGCTACATGCTTATTAGAAAAGGTTTTTCTTTATTTTTGTTTCCCAGCAGTATTAAAAGCAAAACCATATAGTGTGGCACATCAAAGTTTTGAGGAGGGGGTGGTCTTTTAAAAATGTTTTATTTTGCATTCTTATTGGCTTTAAATGCCTTCAAAATTAGCCTGGGCATGCTGTACATTAAACCATCTATGTGTCTATTGATAAAGTTGGTGAACTGTCTAGCACTTAGGCTGCTGTAGAAGCCAAAATGCACAGGCCTAACAAAAAAAGCTATTTTCTTAAAGGTAATGAGCATTCCAAACATTCACTTTAGGTAAATGCTCTATAAGAAAATTCTGAACATTTCTACTTACTTTATCACTTTCTGAAGGCCAGATTGTCATTGACAAAAATCGTAGTGCAACAACAGGAAGCAAGCAAACAGCTACTGATAAAATTATGGTCAGCCAGAGGTAGGGCTGCCTAAGAGCATTTGGAGCGGTCCCTGGTAATAAGAGGTGAAAATTAGTGCGTCTTTTGTTTGTTTTTTATGACCCACCATTATACATTTTATATTCAACAGTTGTTCATACATAAGGGTCTACTCAATTCACAGTTCCAGGATTTTGCAGAAAATGCAAAATAGGGATTGTCCACATAATCAACTTAAAAAATAAATAAATAAAATGCTGGTTCCCCAGTGGGAGCCAGTGGTTCTCACTGCCACTCTGGCCTGGCCTCACAGCCCACCCAGGAAGGGGAGAGAGTGGGGAAGGCGCTGGCTGACATGGTGGCATGAAGGGCAGCAGTCGCCTTGCCAAGGGCTGCTCTGCTTGGTTCCAGCTACACACAAGATTGTATTCACCCCCTCATCCCTCCTGCCCCCACCAGGGCATAGGTGCCTACCTTAATGGATTGTTTTTATTAAGGTAAGCATACATAAATATATCTAAACTTTCATCCAGGAAATATCCACAAAATTCACTATTTAGGCCATGACCAGCCCACGAAAATTGTTTAGTTCCTCTGCAATTTAAGTAGAACCCAACACAGAAAATGAAAACCCCGATTCCTGAGTTACATTACAATTGTGTATCAAAACGTAATTAATTGTTCATTTAAAAAAAGCTACTACTAAATATATGATGCAAGTATTTTTCTTTCAATTTCACATTAAACAAATATTTGCACAAGGATTAGTATTTTTTTTAAAAGCCTCTAGTCAAAACTAAGCCACTTTGTAAGCAAATTTTAGTCTTTGTATCATGTATTTCTTTTTCTAACCAACCAACAAGCCTGGCACAAAATTTATAATACTTGCTTCATTTTCAATTCTGCCAATTAACTATTAACGTTCTTGTAAAGAGACAAATTAGGGTAAAACAAATATTTAACTGCAATGTGGCAGCCCTCCGCAGCACAACGAGCCCTACTGGAGCAGCCCCAGGCTGGCAGGCTGACCATCCAAGACCCTCTGCCAGCCAGGGCCACTATGACCTGGCCCCATGTGCTGCGCTCTGGGCACACATGTAAACCACATACCTGGGAGCTTCCAGGAAGCAATACGCTGTGGAGCAAAAACCTTGCGGCCCATGTAGATGTGCCCTGGCAGATGTATTTTATTACTGAATTAGAAATAAGTTAGCTTTATATGTAACAACACTGTACAGAACAACAAACTGACCTGTAAACTGAAAGCTTGATGGGAAGAGAACATGTATTCCAGCACTATGAAGGTCAAACATGATACCAAAATAAAGTGCAATACTCCCAAATATTGAGAATGCGTTAACAAAAGTCCAGTAAGATGTATCCAAACCGATCTGAAAGTAAATCAAATCTACCATGAATTAAAAAAAAAATCCAGAGGCATGCAGTTTAATATGCTGAAAACTGATACTTGTTATTTAAAACCCCCTTTACTTTGTAGATATAATACACTTTGGAATATTTTGAAGAAGTGTACTGGAGGGAAACATAATAATTAAACAAGCAAAGGTGGAATGGTATGAACTGTTAAAAATATAAAGACATTTCACGTATTAGCTTTTTTCTCTGAAAGAAAGAGGTATAAGTGAGATCATCACTATAGATCAGGGGTGGGCAATTATTTTGGGCAGAGGGCTGCTTACTGAGTTTTGGCAAGGCATTGAGGGCTGCATGATAGGTGGCCAGGGGCAGATAAATACTCATTTTCTAAATTTTTTAGGGGCCCCACGGCCCAGATAGAATGGTCTGGCGGGCCACATCCGGCCCTGCAGGCATCCAGCCCCACCCCTGCTGTAGATCTACATACCTGAAAATTCACTGCAAGTACAAGGGAAGAGGCTGTTGTAACTGCAAAAGACTGGTAATCTGAAGGTGCCTCTCCATCTTGACCCATGGTTTGAAGGTAAGCTCCATATGGTATGAAGAAAATAATCAGTGATGTGATAATTCCATGGATCAAACTTACAAAGAACTTCTTGTAGTTAAAAAGGAGATCTTTCTGTCCAGATATATACAAGCCAGGGAACCGAAGACTCAGTTTGTCACTCACATCCTTAATAGAGGGAAAGTTACTGGAATTAGAAATGTCAGTGCCATACTTTGTACAAGTTTTCTCTCTACTTTGCATTTTGGAGTGGGTTGTTAGAGCAGCTAGCAAGGTCACCCCAACAGCTGGCCTGGCCATGAATACATTTTGGCTAGAAAACATAAGTAGGTTCCAATCAGGAGAGGGCTGGCAAAAGCTTTGATATGGAGCTTCATCAGTTTGAGACTTAGATTACACTTGATTTTAGCCCACAAGAGGCTGAAAAGCGCTGGCTACCTCCAACAAACTAGAGCAGAGGTTGTCAACTGGGGGTAGGCATACCCCTGGGGGTACTTGGGAAGGCCCCAGGGAGTATATGGCATGCCAAGGCACCACTTCACATTCAGCTGCCAGGGGTCCCTCCCCTCTGCTCCACATCCAGACGTGGGTACCCACCAGGAGGGGTACTCACCAGAAGGGCTACACTCCTCAAAAAAAGGTTGAAAACCCCTGAACTAGATTATATGGCCCAGTATCTCTCTTATAGCTCTATTTCTTTATCTTGTGCTTAAGTAACAAAATTATAGCACTTGTTATTCCTCAATTTTTGTTTTAATTAATGGAATATTTATAGTTTTATTTTCATTAACAAAAATGGGAAAAAGCCATCTGCTAATATTTACAGCAGATTAGTACATTAATGCAATACTGAAATCGATTAGATTATATCCTCTCTAATTCAGGACAAGTAAGATTAGAAGGAAAAAGAAAAAAAAATCGCTTGACACATTTACTCATAATTTTGCTTTAATGTCTGTTTCTAAAATTCATGTGAATAATTTTGGCAGCATACCTGGTCAAGCAAGCCAACTAGAAGAACTGGAAGACTCGAATATAGTACATTGTAAAGTGTGATAAACCAGTCTTCATAAGCTGTCTGAAAAATAAAGTTTGTTGATTTATTAGTTAAAACAATTATATTTAGTAGAAACTTAGTAGAAATTCACAATCAATGCTAGACTATTAACAAAGCTGACTGAATTACCCATTTGATACGATAAATGATCCATTAACCTATCCCTCCCTTCATCACATCATCTTATGCATTTGTCAAATCATGCTCCCCCTTGATTTTTTTTGTTTTTTTATCATAAGACCCTATGATACAGATGAGAAACAAAGGACAACATTCTTTCCTCGGATACACACAAGCTTCAACTGAAATCAGTCATAACATGATTGAAAAGGGCAGATATAGTGCCCATTGTTAAGAAAGGGAAGAAGAAGGATCTGGGGAGCTACAGACTCATCAGCATCTGAGCCCCCCAAGGTCTGGAATAGCTTGCCGCCAGAGGTGGTTCAAGCACCTACTTTGAACACCTTCAAGAGAAATCTGGATGTTTTTCTTGCTGGGATCCTATGACCCCAGCTGACTTCCTGCCTCTGGGGCAGGGGGCTGGACTCGATGATCTTCTTATGTCCCTTCCAGCCCTAATGTCTATGAAATCTATAACTGCCTGAGAATATCAAAAGGCAGATGTTGATAATAAGTACGCTGCAAAAACAGAGAACTGACACCTCAGACAAAAACTAGGGTGTGTCAAAACTTGGACTTCCTGTTTCAAGAAAAATTCAAACACACTAAAATCAGAACAAAAAGTGGAAATTTTTTTTTGCAAAAATAAATGCATCTTGGGGCCCAATTCCAGTGAAATGTTGACACCCAAAACATTTAATGTAAAGTAAAAGGCGTCAATAAATAGCTGACCCATTTAAAATGCTGTGTTTTGGGGGGTTTGTTGTTGTGGTTTTAAATGAAATGTTAGCATTGTTTATGTTCTCATGGACAGTTCCCGATGAAAGAACATCAAAACTGACCAGCACTGGGTTAGAAAAACAAAAATATTCTTTAATCGATTACTTTCACTCTTTACTTTTCATCATATAGATCAGATATTTAGTTTGGAGAATTTACATACTGCAATTTATACCCTGCATTAAATCAATTTTCTGTAATTAGTCTTTACTTCTCCCATAAAAGTAATTTTATTTTAGTTGTTGTCACTGCACTCTATCTGATTGCTAAGGAAACATCTATGATTTAACAGAACCTTTTTCTCACAGGCAACAAATATCAATCACAAGAATCCTAAAGTAAAGACCCCATAGTAGAAAAACGTATGCATGCACACAGGCAAACACAGAAGTGAGAACGAGAGAGAGTGATTCTATGTTTCCCCCATACTACAGATATCATTCACTTGATTTTCTGTCTTGAGTGTCTGCTGGGATTGGCATGCTGGAGACAGAACCAAACGTTAGAGAAGATTAAAAAGGAGTCTCCTGAACTCTGATGGCTGCAGTCTCCCTCCTGCATTTGTAAAGTCTCCATTAAAGGAAAATCCTGCAGACCCTTCAGAATCCTGCAGATCATTCAAGTAACTCTATAGGTCTCACTAGAGCTACTTTTATCATGGAGGTCCTGAGCCTGCAAGCAGGTCCACATGGATTGAACAGGCAACAGGACTATGGTCTTTGATTGTAAAGTCCTGGGGAACCTTGTCTGAACTAATGTAGTACATGAGATCCACAAATGATACAAGAATATTTGTGTAGGGTTCTATAGGTTATCAACCGTAAGATTTGCACTAGATGGAAATTTCAGTAATTTGGGACAAAAAAAGTTTGATAAGTTAAAATATGAAGGACTTTTTCAGGCTTTTTGAAGGTGAAGGGAACAGGCTGCTTCACAAACAGCAAACCAGGGAGCTGTATTTTCCCCATTCCCTCATCTAATATCTCAATATTCATAGCACAGATGTACTATTGATTTTAAGCTTTATGCTGTAATGGCCAACTATCCATAAAACTATTCTTTACTATATCTTTTTTGTGTACACATGATAAACTATATTGATTCATACCGAAAAAAGTGTTACACATTTGTGAAGGTTAAGACAAGTTGTGTCTCTATAAAAAGTCATTATGATCTACAAGTCAAGAACAATAAAAGAAGTATGAATCAACGATGTGGAAGTTTTAATGCTAAGCAACCTTTAAGGATGTTCACCTGAATTACATCCTTGCCATTTCTAATTCAGTCTTCACTATTTTGTATTGGCCAAAAGGAAGTATTTTCTCATTCCTGTTAGACATGTACATGCTTTCTCTTACCTGGGCAGAATAGCCATTGAAGAATGAATACCAGAAATGCACTAGTGTAAATGCAAAGTTTTTATAGAAGAAGTATCGTAGGAACTTGCACATCCTTATATAAGACCATCGGCCATGGACTAACAGCAGTCTTTGGAGGTATCTGAATTGTCCAAAAGAATAGTCACTTGACATGACAGCTTGCATGCCTTCTTGGCCACTAATTCCAACACCAATGTGGGCAGCTAAAATTTAACAAAAAATGTAGACAATAGGATCTCAATGAAACAAGATACACTATTGAAAAAGTCAAGATGTAAATTAAGATCCCAACTTTCCTAAATCATTAAATAATTCCCATTACCTACCATCAATTTATCCAGCCCCAACCATTCTTTAAGTACAGGAAGACCTCCATTAAGGACTAACATTTCCAAGAGGAAATCTTTTCCTGCTACCTATTCTTAAGGTTCTATTTATGGTTTAAAAGTTCAGATCTACTTGGTCTACCACCAAGGTTCATGCTGAATATAGCAAATCAGAAAAGAACAGAATGGATAACAAAAATGTTTGATATAAAAAAAATAAATGTTTAGAAATAAACAAGTACATTTTGCTTGAAATGGAAATAACACTGAAGTTACTTATACAATAAATGCTTGATATCATATAGACCAAATATAGATCCCCTATGCCAAGGAGCTTCTAGTCAAGATTAAGGTGTGAACTAATGATGGGATAAAGATGGTAGGAGAGGAATTACTGACTATGAAGCTTGCATGAATCTTAGGTCTTCAAAGAAGGTCAGTAATGATAAAAATATAGATGTAAATGTGAAATCTGTTGAACATGTCACCAAAAAAGTGTTTCCTCTCCTTTAAAAGGCATGCTAACATGGATAAATGAATACTTGAACAATGATGATGTTAACACGTGTAATGAACTTCTGCATGTAAAAATTCCTCTCTCAGTTCTTAGAAACTACCTAGACAAGTTAAAATAGCACTTTCATTAAAATAATCCAAGAGCTTCAGGAAAAAAAAAAAGAAACATAGGGAATCTTTATAGGTGACTTACTTTTAATCATGTTTACGTCATTAGCACCATCCCCAATAGCCAAAGTAATAGCTTTCTTGTACTTCTTCACCAGCTCCACCACCATTGCTTTTTGTTTAGGAGTAACTCGACAGCAGATCACTGCCCTGCATTCGCATGCTAGGTCTACAAAGTTCCTTTGTTGCTGTTCTTTGTTAACTTCAGCTCTCCTCCTGGTCTCAATACGCATCTGTTTCTCTTCTGCTGTTTTGGGGAATTTCAATTTTAGTTTCTTTTTCTTCTTTTTCTTCTCTAACAGGATTTCATTCTGCATATACATAAAACATAGTGGTGAGGTTAATGCAAGTTCTGAGCACCCCCTGTAACCTAACATTAAGCAGAAGCTCATCATTTTTAAAGTATTATTTTGGTTTTGATTTTTGTTGTTACCTGTTTGAGACAATGAGACCCACATACAACTACAACTGTAGGCAGTTAAGTGCTCCTTGTGATGCAAGTCTAAAAAATTATTTGGTGAAAAACAATGAGAGCTAGCATCTGCTTGATGCTAGAGGAGGAGGAAGAGGACCCTCTTCCCCTTAATCCAGATAGTCTAGTGGGCACTTGACTAGTCTGATGGGGAGCTGGATTTGAGCCCAAGGTGGTAACATAGGTTAAACAGGCACTTCTCATCTGAATAGTTTTACATCATTTTTTTGCTGGTCCATCTCTTCAATTCTTATCCTTACAGAATTCTGCTAATAAGAGACTTGCCAGTACTTGGATTGTTAAGTAGTGGCTCTCTGATTGAAAGTCCTTCAGTGGTTTTTGAACTCTTGTAAGAGCATCATATGAACCTGCGTCTTTATTTCTGTCACTTCTTTCAGAACCTCTAACTCTGTTGCTACTATAAGGTTATGACTAGGATCTGTTCAGGGCAGTTTCATTTGGAAAACAAGAAATCTTATTTTGCATCTTTCAGATTTATTTTTTTTTAGGATTAAAGGGTTCCCTGGTTAAGAATCTTATTTTAAAAATGGAATGAATATTTAATAGAGGTGCACTGATATAATCAGTCCATATCGTATCGGCACCAACGAAAGAAAAATTGACACTGTCGGCAACTGGCTTTTTTTTGGCCGATGTGGCCAATAACGTCACCAATAAATGCCGCATGCATGCGCGCAGATACAACATGCACATGGCCAGGAATGCAGCCCTGAAGCTTAGAGAGCAGTGTCCGCCCGGTTAGTTTGTGGGGGAAGAGTGGGGTAGGGAAGGGGCATGGGGGAGGGCAGACTGAGGCCCCCACATTGAGGGAAGGAGCGGGGCTGGGGCAGGGGCAGGGCAGGGTGTGGGATGGAGCTGCGGGCGGCTCATGGGGGGGGCGAGGGAGCGGCTCCCCACCCTACACACACCCCTGGGGAAGGCATTTTGTACAGGGTGAGGGGCAGACTGTGGGCTCAGCCACAGCTCAGACTGGGGTCTGTGCTGACCTCTTCCTGGGATGGGATGGGCTGGGCTAGGGCTGGGCTATGGCGATTTTTGGGGTGGCTGTAGCCCACCCCATAGCCCCCCTTCCATCACTGCCACTGCCTACCCCGAGCACAGCCACGGCCCAGCCCCCACCAGGAAGAAGCCGGCACAGTCCCTGGCCCCAAGCGCACAGCAGGCAACCTGCCCTCATCCCATGCACAAATCCAGGGGGCGCATGCCCCCCATGCCTGCCCCAGGGCTGCATGCAGGACAGGGAGCTGACCCCCTTCCCACCTCCTGCACCCCCCACGGATCCATCCCACATGCCACCCTGACTGGGCAGCACAGCCCCCAGCCCTACTCCCTCCCTCAATGTGGGGGGGGCTCAACCTACACCCCCCATGCTCCTGCCCCTCTCCCTCCCCAGACTTACCAGTTGGACACTACCCTCCAAGCTGCTGGGCTGCATACTGGCAATCAGATCTGTATCAACCGATATGGCTGGTTAAAAATCAGCTATTGGTATTGGTCGAAAAAATATTTATTGGTGATATTTCGTTTTGCTTTGATTATGATTAATAAAAGATTATCATAAATACAAAGCATATTATTATTTTAAATCAAGGGCTTTTCATTCCTAGTCTTCAAAAATACTTCAAAGTCTGACCAATATTAACCACGTTTTATAGAGTGAAGAAAGCAAGGCAAAGAAGTTAAACAGCTTTCATACAGTGCTTTAGCATAACAGTGTAATGAATGAGGGGGCCCTTGATTAGAAAAGGCATGAGGTTCCAAAATTCTCCACTAGTAGACTCTGGACTGTTATGAACCTCCCCAAATTCCCATTTTTCACATACCAGCCAGGAACCAGTGATTATCAAAGCACGATTTCTACCAGACTGAAAGAAAGGTTCAGTTGTTCTTTGTGAGGATTGTGTGTTTGATCCAGCTCTGTTCCTCTGGTTTTCCAGCCTTGTTTGGAGAAGTGCACTGGGAAAATAAATGCATACAAATCAATACAATTCACCTAAAACAAACATCTTAAGGTAAATACTAATGTTCACGGTGACGTGCGTAGTTAGTGTTCATCACAGCATCTATGGCAAATCTAAAGATAAACCTTGAACTAGGCAGACACAGACCTAGAAAGTGATCTGGGAAAGGCACACAGCATATGCTGTGAGATATTTTTAACAATATAGTAGGCAGCTCTTTTACATGCTAGGACACACAGGGACAGCACTGGCTCAGAGATGGTGCATCACATGGCTTAAATACTGACGCTCTTTTCCAAATAAGAAAGGTAAAGTTCTGACCACTTTGTCTAAAAATGCTATGCAGTCTTAAACCTCCAGCATTCTTACTTCTGGTGTTCTAGATAAATTCCACCCAAATAATATTATCTTGGAACCTCAAAATCCTGTTAACTCTAGTTAGTTTTAAGGAAAGAACATTTCAATATCTGCCCTAAAAACAACTCTCAGGAATGATATTGTTACCAAAAAAAAAAATGTCTATCCAAAAGAAGACACTTTAGACTGACCTGACATCTTCTCCGTAGCAGATAGTAGTTTCCTCTGTTAGAAGCTCACAGGAAAACCCAATATTTTCAGCTGTTTCTGTTATTAAAAATGCAGAACTAGTTAAATTTTGTAATGAGGACTTTGTAAGCGACTAAGCTTAAAAATAGAAAACTTGTTTTTATTTTAACTAACAAAATTCTCCCTTAGAACTGGCATGCACAGGGATATGTAGGACAGTGGACAATTAAGTACAAAGGAGAAAAGCAAGTCACTACATCATTTCTGTAGCAATACTTATCATCTGCTCTAGGAAAAGTAGGGGTTGAAAAGTGGAAGAATAACTTACACAATTCTCATTAAACAAAGAAGTTGGCACAAAATAAATACTGGTTTAAATTACATGAACAGATGTAGCCAATGCAACTGTGGCAAGTGAAAAACAGCTTTTGGGGAAGGAAGGTCTTTTCAGATTTCTGACTAGATCAGGAATGATTTCTGCCACGGCATAAAGTTATAGTGGAAGCCTCCCAATAGTGCAAGAGGTGATATGTGTGACCAGCTAGATAAGCCAGCTACATAAGCCTTGGGAGCATGACTTTGGCTTTAGTCTTCCTGGGGCACAGGGTAGGCTGTAGTCCTGCACCCTGGAGGGCTGAGTAAAGAAGCTGACAGGACAACTTGCAGGAGGCTCTGGCTGGGATGTCAGAGACAAGAAGCTGCTTTTTAACCTCTTGAAGCTGGCTAGGGACTGCATCCATGGGTTTAAGGTGCAGGATAAGAACAGATTACTGTTCTGTTTCCTTTTGCTTGTTTTTGTATCTCTAGCTGTATCTCAGTATATAATTACTGGTTTCTTAGGCTGGTTTTTTCTATTATTTAAAAATCCTTATTGTTATTTTTTACTCCCTAATTTTCAGTGTTAACTGTAATTCCAGAGCATTTGCCCATACAGGCTTGCCCATTCTATGGAAAAGGGGATCCATCTTTGAGTGCACAACTAGACAAAGTTATGATTCTTCTACCTGGCAAAATCCCCTCCGCTAAGAGCTAGCGAGAATGAGATAGGGTAAGACAGGCAAGGCCGAGGTGCCACAGGCCAAGAAATTGACCCCAGCACATCTCAGCTGGTTCTCAGTGGACAAGCAGCAGACAGCAAGGGGGGGGGGGATTCAGGGCAGAAAGGCACCCCAGAAGAAGGGAAGCACCCCAGGAGTATCTCAAAGGTGCACCCAGGCCACCTCTGGAGTTGGGGCATGTCACACTCCCTGATTCAAACGTTATTAATAAAACTGGGTCTACTATAACCTCTTATTTAAGTTGCCAGACATTTTTCCAGTGGGACCCTATTTCAGTTACTTATAACTTAAACATTTCAGCTCAAATGATTAATATTTCACAATGCTGAGCCTTAGCCTGATTTTTTTTTAAATACATTTTAGTCACACCAGTGCGGTCACTTCCAAGAAAAAAACTAGAAAAAAAAGAGTGTTTTACCAATGTTATATTCTTGAATATAAGGTTTCTTTGAAATGCTCTAGCCTCCTATTCTTTGTAGCAGGGACTTCACATTACACAACCTGGCCTGTTATTCCATCCTTACTAAGCATGCTCCTCACAGATCCTACATGAAATAAAACTGCATGCTGCATCCCCACAGAGCAACTAAGTATGCTCCAGAGCAGGTTTATATCAGCAAAGCTGACCTTTTCCAGTAATGGCTCCTTCAGGATGTTGTGGGTCTGGACACAGAGAAGGAACGTGGTCTCTCAGAAGAAAGCTCTGACACAGGCAGTATGGAAAAGGAAGAAGTCAGATTTGATGTTGATGAGACAAAAAACAGGCTGAGAAAGCAAAGGAATAGATTGGGACAAAGAGTTTGAACTTGCTGGATAAGGACTGGGTGGGAGGAAAGGCTGGGACCAAGGAGAGTAGGAGACAGGAAAAATAACCTTTCTGCTACCTAAAGGTGTTGTGAAGGCTAATTACGGTTTGTAAAGCTCTAAATAATTTATTGCTGGTAGAATTCATTAACCCAATACTGCATGTCTTGTCATCTTAGAAGAGATGTCTCCTCTCTGAGCTGGCAGCTTTAAAAAAAGTGGGGGGGAGAGGGGGGGGAAGAGAGAGAGAGAGAAAGAGAGAGAGAGAGAAATCCCATGTATGACTTAATGTGATTAAGCTCAGCCAGGTGTCTCATCCATGTAAAGGGAAAATTTAAAATGGAAAGAGCACCAGGCTTTTTTAAACTGGTGTCTCTATCTTTGGAATTACTTTCTGGTCAGATACCCATACAACTGGAAAAGTAAATTAGTGGGTAGTGAATTGTAAACACTGCTTTTCCCCTGGAAAAATATGGTCAGACTTTTCCATAGAAAGCACTCATAGCTTTAAGGCTATTGTCATCATTTAGTCCAACCTGCTATACAAATAAATTCTGCATCAAGCAGAAATGCTGTGGGAGATGTTGCACATCCTTTAGAAATCTTTCTGGTCTTGATTAAAAAATACTTTAAGATAGCAGTGGGAACCCTTTACTGGCTGTGAGCCAGTGTGACCAGGTTTGGGTTAGAGATGTGCAGGCACTGGGACCTAGCCACCACTTCGTCTTTTCCCTGCAGTGGTACAGGGAGTGTCCCTAGCTTGTGCTTTTCCTTCCCACAACTGCATGGGAAGGCAGCTACTGCCAAAGCCCCCCCCACTAAAGTCCCTTGTCTGTGGGCCAGATCAAATGTCTCCATGGAACAGATCCAGACTGCATGACACAGGTTAAGAAACTACATGCTTGAATTTGGCTAAGTACAGACATTGGTGGGGAAGGAGAGGGGGCTTAGGGGAAGGTTAGATCACGTTAAAATGGCCATCTGATCCAAGGAGAATCAGGATGGGGGGCTAGCTGAGGGGGGCGTGCAGGCTTGGGGTGGGGATTTAAGGTCTGTGTGGAGGGGAAAATCAGGAGGCAGACGTGATCCATAGGAGTGATGGGGGGGCAGGTGACAGCTGCAGGAGGAGTTTGGGGCAGAGGGTCTGGCTCCCAGCAGCAGTAAATGCTGATAAAACTGGCAGCACCGGGATGCAGGAGGGAATTGTGGGGGGAGAAGGGTCCGTGGGGATGAGGGACTGGGGGAGGCGGGCTGAAGGGCTGGGGGGCCAAAAATAGCCCAATGTCAGAGGGCAGCTGGAAGCACAACCCTAGGGCTGGTACCAGCAACTGGACTTCCCCAGCCCTGGAGCTGTGCAGGTAACTGTACTAAAAATTGATGTACCAGTCTAACCTAGATTGATTAAGTTGGAGTGTACATTGATCTGGGTCCATCTTAGACCAGGTTCTACCATTTTTAGACTGGTTTTTGTGCACAGTTGTGTATAGTTGCAGGTTTAGACTGATTTCCAATCACTGAGACTGGGTCTAAATGTAAGGTCCATACCTGGAGAACTAAGTTAGATTGGGTGGCCATTTTTAACGGGATCTAATCTCCCCCTAGCCCCTCTAGGTATCTGCATTTACCCTTTGTGCCTTATTTCTAATCTAGTCTAGCTTGCAAATGAATCTCAACAGCCTGTTTGTTTGATTTCCTGCTGCATAAATATACCTTTTTTGTCACCAGTAAGCACCCAGATTTTAATGTCTGCCTTTGCAAGTTTGGATATTGTTTCTGGAACTCCATCTTGTAGTTTGTCTTCAATAGCTGTAGCACCCAAGAGCTAGAAGTTATTAGAACATACATTAGCAAGAACAGCCTTAAAATTAAATGAAATTAATTTACCACCGTCTTTTTTTTTCACAATATATAATGCAACTACCTTGTGCTCGCCTTTACTGCAAACAGTTACCTCAAGTTAATATACCTACTTCATTGAATCTAGTTATAGGAAGCAGGGTGAAAGTGAAACATTCCAGTTACTACACAAAGGGATTCGACCAGCAGCTGATGAACTGTTGTTATACAAGCTGCTATGTACGTACTGAATTATTATATAGAACCTCAGCAACCTAAGGCTTCAAACCCATGCCATCACTGGGCCAGCCAGATTGAACCTGGGGATGGAAACGGACATAATCTTTGTGCCACCATAAAGATGGTTATCGTGGTGCAAAAGGTCAAGCAAACAGACATCCATATCTCTTGCTGTGCCACTAATGCCTAGAACCTGCAGACACTACGTAGGTGGCATCAATTTGTCTTGCCTTATTGAATTCCACTTAGAATTAATTGGGGGTTTTTTACTGCAGAGATTTCCCCAATAATATTATTGCAAGCTGTGATTCATAACTGAGATAGTATGCCTTTGCTCTCCAATTTGTGTCGTTTTTGTTTTTTTTCTTTTTTACAACAGCAGTCTAACCAATAACGTAGTTAATTAACAGCACGGCAATCTTTGAATGGCCAGCTAACAGACTTTTTAAAATAAAAAACTTCTTTCAGAATATATTATAGTCACTATATGGCTGTCTGGGTACAAACTTAGAATCATGGAACAGGAGTGACGCAAGGAGTTCTTTACTGAGCATGTCTCTATACCTGTGTTTTAGCTATGTATCTTATTTACATACATGTATGTTTCATTAGCATACTTTCTCCCCACCTAGGGGCGTGATTTTTAGTATTTTAATTAGCTCTTTGCCCTAGTCCTCTGATTCTGCTTTTGTTTTCAAGCCTCCTTTATCTAAGACTGTCTCCTCCTTATCATTGCAGATGGGCATTAGTTACATAACAGAGACTTTTGCTTGGGCTTTGTATAGTGGTTTCTAGGTCAAACCTCACAGGAGCAGTGGCCACTAATACAGCCACCCTCCCATCTGCCAAATTCCTAAACCCCAATATCAGCACGGTTGGTCAGAGCCAAGCTGTGCCCCCTTCCCTCGGGGCCAGGTCACACCGTCCCCACTTCTGGATCACAGCTGAGGTTCACCGCCTTCCCTTCCCACAGGTCTGGGCTGGGATCTGACCACACTCCTTTCTCCCCCGTGGGGCCAGGCCATGCCCCCTGCTCCCCACAACTGGGCTTGGATGTGCTGCAGGGGCTGGGCCACATCCCCTTCCCCCATAGGACCAGGTTGGGGCCTGGCCTTCCCACCCCGATAAGGCTGGGCCATAACCACCTCCCTCTTTGCAGAGACACACGGGGACCTGGCCATGCCCCCTTCCCACTCCACAGGGGCAAGTCAAGTTCCTTTCCCCTGTGAGGCTCCGCTGCAGGTTGCCTGCCCGCTACCTCCTTTGCAGAGCCAGATGGTGCCCACCATGCCCGTCCAGGCACCAGATTGGGAACACTGGCTGGATCTAGCCCGCAGACAGACCAGGCACTGCCAGTCTGGCTCACTGTGCAAAAAGGTTGGGCACCCCAATCAAGTCCAATAACCTGTACCCATGCAAGATTTCCTAAACCAACTCAGACAGATGACTACGCATCTCTTGAAACCCTCCAATGAATGAGATTGGACGTCATCTCTGGGATGCTTTTTCTATTTCAGTGTTCCACTGGTTTTAAGACAGTTGGTCAATATAAAGCAAGATTTCATCTAGTGTGTTGGCTTTTTTAATGAAAATCTATTTAAAACCAAATGCTATAGCAGGATTTGTTTTGTTTTGTTTTGTTTTGGGGATTTAAACACTTGCTTCCTTGAACATAACCTTGAGATAACTCATAATACTTATAAGGTTTGCCACTTAAACAGATTATTACCATCAGTCAGTAGGCAGAGTAACCAATACTCAATTCTTCAAACAAGAATTAATTCCATATACTAGACAGTTGTATAATATACGGTGGAGATAAATTTAACAGTAGAATTACCTGAAGGATGAGGTAACCCCTAGACAGTTGTAAATGGAGAACCTGGCTATAGTTTATTTGTAATGCAGCTACTGCTATAGGAAAAGTGTGTTTATCTACCAAATTTTCAACCTGGAAATTAAAAAAAACAACACCAAACCCCCACCCCCAAAAATAAACCTGTTATGCACTTGAGGACATAGTACTACTGCCAGAGGACACATTAGCAGCCTTTTATGAAAGAAGGCAGGGAAAAGTATGTCAAAGGAAAGCAGAAAATAAATGCATCTTCTTGTGTCTTCCTTCATTCCTTGTAACTTTCAAGAATTGGGCCTCAGTAGATTCATAATCTCAATAAAATTGTATTCAAGTGTCCTAATCAAAAACAATTCTTCATTTTCCACACTAGTCCATAAAATGTGTGCTTATTCCTGGGTAAGTAGTAATAATTTAAAGCTCAACTTACAATCAGATTTTTTTCTATTTCTTCATATACTTGATCCAGGGCTTCATCACGATTAGTTGTAGCTACACTGGCTTCTGTAAACTTTTTATTCCATGCTTCATATTCTCTATAACTAATATCCTTGTAGCAGAGGCATAGTGTTCTAAGGGTCTCATTTGCAAAAGTCTGGTGGGAAATAAAACCAAAAAACAATCCATAGATTTTGAAAACCACACATCAAAGTGTTTTGAGCATTTTCTAGGGTGGGTATGTGGGGTGGGGGGAAGAGGGGCTTGACAGAAGCAAGGAGCAACGCTGTTCTAGGAGTACTATGGAGCTCTGTCTTTCACAACCAATTAGCAAAGTGGAAGCGAGTCAAGTTGGTGTGGTTCTACATAGGAACGTGTAGCTTTATCAAAAAGTGTAAAACCTTACATCTAGTGCCTCTTGTGTAGCATGTCTCTTAGGATTCCTCGGATGCAAACGTTCATAAATTACCGTATCAGCTCCTTTACAATACAGTCTGATGCGCCCATCAGGTTCTCTAACTGTTGAAGTAAAATAAAAAAGGAAAAATCTCAGGGCACATAATTAGAAGTTTCTAAACTGACTTCTCGATGTATTACATTTACACAAGCTATTTCTGGTAACAAGGCAGTGTATTTATTTCACAATGATCTCGCCTTGTCCATTACTTAACTTGAAACATCTAATCAGAAAAAATAAATAAAAACAATGAAACAGAACAAGAAAACTTAAATTTAAAAATAGAAGACATTTAAACCTGGTATGCCTAGATCTGGAGCTACAGGACCAATTTTCTCTCATATTTATACTGATAAGTCACATCTGACATAAATCAATTTTATTTTGATTCACAAACACCACCAGCCCATTTGGCCATACTGTAAGCAGATGAAGCATTAACATTCTTAAAGGAATCAAATTCTCAGATGTTTGTATAAATACTCAAAATCTCATTTCTTCACAACAGCAGGACATACATATGATGCAGCATAAACATCCTAGATTTGACATTTTCTTATGGCTCAATATTGTAATCTATTTTAATGAGTTTATACTTTACTGATTAAGGAGGAACTTAAGATCAAAGCTAAAGCTGTTCATTACTAACACTGGCACAACTGTTCTCTATAGCTATCAGAAACATTTATCTACTCAGTTTACATTTATGTGGAAAAAATGAATATACATTTCCTATTTACATTGCTATTATTTAGGGTTCTCAATCTTTTTGTATCATGGGTCATGTTTTAATACAGAGATTGTATAGTAGAGGCATTTGCACCCATTTACAGACCAGGCTCTACTGGACTGGTAACAAAGCTCCTATTTCACAGCCCTATAGGGCTGTTTTTAACTCTAACTAAAAACATTAATTTGGGTGTGGAAATAACTTTAAGTGAAGCAGTGATGCACTGTCTAGATGCTCAAGAAGGCTAGATTTGCTTTATGAAACCAAAAAAAGAGAAACGTTTAAATTCTAATGACTACCAGACTAACGAAACATATTTTGATTATTTTTGCCTAGATTGCTTTTATAAAAAATAAATATACAATACAGAAAATTAATACACATTCCATTATATTTATAGTTGTTTATTAGGCCTGTGCAAAGCAGCAAGTATTTGGCCAAATCTGAATCCAAATCGATTCGAGGGACAGTGATTTGAATTGGTGATTTGAATCACTGTCCCAATTCGATTTGGCCAATTCGGATTTGGAGATTTGGCCACCAAATTGGCTACCGAAACTTTGGACATCCCTAACAGATAGATAGGGATACGTTCCCAGGCGGTGAGGGAGAGAGGGAATGAGGCTGGGACTAGGGAAGGGGTGGGGGAGGGGTGGCATTCTTGGGGCTGCACCATGCTCTGCCTGTCCCCCCGTGCCTCTTGCTGGTCTGCGCCCCCCAGGAGCACCGTGGGCTGGGGGACTGTGTCTGGCTCTCCCCAGGGGCGTGTGCCCCCAGATCTGCGCACGGAATGACTACAGGCTGTCGCTGCAGGCTGGGGCTGGCAGCAGCACCAGGCTGAGTCTTCCTGATGATTGGGGTGGGGGAGCACCAGGAACAGCCCATTGCTACCACCAGCCCCAGCCTGCAGTGGCAGCCTGCTGTCATCCTGCTCCCAGATCTGGGAACACAGGGCTGTTCCCGGCGCTCAGCACACCCGCCCCAAGTGCTGGGAACAATCAGCCTGGTGCCACCGCCAGCCCCAGCCTGCAGTGGCAGCCTGCTGTCATCCCATGCACAGATCTGGGAGCATGAGCCCCCAGGAAGAGCTGGACACAGCCTGCCAGCCCACAGCCCTCCCAGGGGGCACAGAGCAGGAAGACATACACCGCCCCCCTCCCCATCCACTGACTGTTCTCAATGCAGCTGGCGCCAGACACTCCTAGAGCTGCTGAAGCAGGGGCTAGGGTGAGTGTGGACAAGCTGCACTGCATCTTGCGCTACCTGGGGCTTCAGTTGCTGCCACTCCCCCCAGTCCCTGCTGCAGTGGCCCCGGGAGCAGCCGACACCAGCTGCCTGCACCATGGCATGGTGCAGCCTAGAAGCTGGGGTGAGTGGGGACAGGTGGAACCCAGGCGCGGGGCGGGGGCAGGTGGAGCATGATGCAGCCCTGGGAACGGTACCCCTCCCCCCGTCCCTTCCCTAGTCCCAGCTTCACTCCCCTCCCTCCCTCACCGCCTTGGGAACCTATCCCTATTTGTTACATTATAAAGTAGGTTTGCTTTATGCAAGGGAAACCTTTATAGCCTATGGCTGAATCTCCAAATTGGCCCCGAATCTCTCTAAATCAATTCAAAGGCTTCCGATTCGATTTGGACCTCTTAATGGGGCTCCTGGTTTGATTCGGATTTAAAGATTCGGCCGCTGAATTGGGCTGAATCTCCTCCAAATCAAATCAGCTACTGAAGCTTTGCACAGCTCAATTGTGAATAATATAGCTCTAGGCCACTATCTTATTACTAAAGCTTCTAGTTTCTTTTTAACTTGATAGAAACATGTTGTTACATGTGATGATGCCTCACACCATTTGCATCCCTCTTTTCAAAATCTTAGATCCACCCATGAGCTTTTCTATGGGGGCACTTTAAAAGGAAAGGTGTTTTTTTGTGCATTCACATGTGACCCAATAGCATAACTAAGGGTGAGTGAGACAGGCACCAGCCCTATGAACTGATTTAGGAGAGATGCCAAAATCATCTCCCACCTCTTTGGAGCCATGGCCCAACAGCAAAAGCAGCCTCACAACTTTTGCTTTTGCAGCAACAGCTAGTGCATCGATACTGTGCTGCTGCTGCTTTAAGAGCAAAAGCCAGGGTGGGCAGAGCACACAGCCATGGCACCTGGAGACTGGGTAAGACTCTTGCACACACACCCCTCATTACCCCCACCTCATTACCTATGTATAACCCCCCAGTTTCATAACCTATGCATAATTTCCCCACCCTCACACAGTCTCCCACAGGGTCTGCCCAGGGCAAAACTCTGCTCGTTACACCATAGGTGTGACCAACTTACCAATAACAGACATACGTTTCCTATCGCTGTTGAAGTCTAGGATGGCAAGTACATCATAAGTTCTTTCAATCCCCATTTCACTTATGGTAATTGTATTCTGAGTTCGCGACAGAAAAACAAAGCCAAAGTTTCTGGCTGCTGTTACCAAGGCCCCTTCATCTGGGGAGGCTGCTTGATAGTTGAGCTCACCTATATTATTGAAACAGTGAAAAAAGAAGAAAGCCATATTTGAGCAATTCACTTATGCCTCTAGTTAAGTTGGGGCCATTTGATATGAACTGAATCAGTGCACTTCTTGTTTCCATTTACACAAGCAGAATACTCACCATTAGAAACTTCTACCATCACTGTGTGACAGATTGCAAGCAGAAAAAAGAATTGGCGAACTTCAGGGTCCTTTCCAGACCTGATTTGTTCTATCAGATAATGATCATAAAAGGAGAGCTTCCCATCAGCATACATGTTCCAGCTAAAATCAACTTGCTGGATAAGGAAAACACAAACAGATTCTCAGGTGAATGCAATTACTTTGAGCTAAAAGAAAGCTCACTTTAGCAGAAAATAAAAACATAACAAACCAAAACCAAACATCTGAATTTCACCACCGCTCTCTCAAACCCACATGGATAGTGAAATAAGTAAACCAACCTACCTCTGTACAATGTTGAGGTTGCCCCGATTCATCCCTGTAATCTCCTGTAATGGAAACAACAGGAATCTAAGTGCTTGAAAGGTATCTGAAGCCTTAAAAAGGTAAACAGCAACATCTGCAAATTCCCAAACAAAAATATCGTAAATTCTGTAGGTTCCTATTTTTATACCAATTGCTGTAGCCCCAGTTTTACAGTGCCTATAACATGAGAATTTCCAAGCCTGCATTCACTGAAGTCAACAAAAAAGCCCCATTGGGTGTGTCTACACATGCATTACATCCAGGAGCAGTTTAGTTGCAAGTAAACTACTCGCGAATAAACACTCCCAGGCAGGCATCTACACGTGTAGAGAAGCAGGAGCAGATTTGCTGCTAATGGCAACAAACCACTCTTGCTTCCTGGGGACCTGCAATGGGCCCCTGCTGCCACCAGGGGGTGCTAGCCCAGGGACTGGCAGAGAGCCTGGGCCAGAGACAGCTGTCTCCTGGCCAGGACTGAGACATTGCTCCCTGCCCCTGGGGGGGTTGCCTGCTGCTGGGGTGGGGACAATGGCCCCCTGTCCCAGCAGCAGGGAGCTCCCAGCCCCAGCTCCCTGATCAGGGAAGGGGACTTGGGGAGAGCTTCAGGTGAGAGGCAGGTCCCAGTCCCCTGCCCCAGTCTGCTGGTGGGCAGCTAGCAATGAGATGGATAAGGGTAAGGATCTCCCAGCACTGGCCCTGCGACTGCAGATCCAGCTCTGGAGGTAAGGCTCTCCCAGCCCCTGTTCCCCAACTGTGATCTCAGAGCAGGGGGTTTGGAGTTCCCTGCTGCTGGGGCAGGGGGACATGGTCCCAGCCCAGGCTCCGGTGGCGGAGCCTGCCTCAGCAGCAGGCAGCTCCTGGGGGCAGGGAGCAATCTCCTGTCCCCTGGTGGCTGGCTTACCGAGAAGAGATTTGCTCCTAGTCAGGTGTCTATATGAGCGCTACTGCGCAGTTAGTAATCACAAGTAAGTTTGCTACTTGCATTTGCAGGTAGCAAATTTACTCATGATTAGCAAGGTTTACTAAACAGTAAGCATGTGCATGTGTAGATGCACATGCTTACTGCCGAGTAAACTACACCACTTTGCAGTAAAGCATCTCGTATAGACACACCAAGTGTCTTCAAAAAGAGGCAAAGTTTCACACACATTTATATCCAAGCGGTGAGAGGACCTGATATTTTGTTTCAGTCCAAGTTCTGGTATTTGAAACGCTTTCCTTTCAGAAGGACAATAAAAAAAAAAATTAGCGCTTCCTCAAACCAAAGTCCTGGAGGAGGGGGGAATATTTCCAGTTAGTTGAAATATTGTGCTCTGGTTTTGGCTTTTAAAACATTTGATCATAAACATGTTTTTAATTGGTTTCTAAATGACTTCTCCTTTCATCCCTCTTCCCCCGCATCCCAAAATGGAACATTTCTGCAAAATGTTTGGATTTTGGTGAATTGACATTTTCTAACTAAAATGCATTTATTGAAAAACAAAAAACAGAACTTCAACCAGTTCCACTCAGTACTGACCTAAATCCCAGAAAAAACCCTACATTCCACGGACAAAGCAGGAGGTGACACCAGCGGGGATCCCACGGCCAATCCAGAGCATGGAGCTGTGAGATGGTAACAATTCTCTTTTCTGATTTTGAGGTTTTTAAATGTCTGTGTATTTTGCATTGCAACTTTGGGCAAAAAGTCCTCCCAGAATAGTTTACCCTGAATCAGGCAGAGCAGTGCTTGTACCACCAGGGTAAAGACACATGGACATTTTCATCTTTCCCAAAAAAGAAGAACTTGGCTGAAGCAGATTATGTCTTAGCAAAACGTTTTGGCTTAGATCAGTGGTTCTCAACTGGTGGTGCTGTCATGGACAGGTGGAACTCCCCTTGTGCAGGCAGACTGGGAAGGGCTGCAGCACATGTGCATGCTTCTGTTTGGATTAGGGTCATCTGATAAACCTAAAGCAGGCAGAAGGGCGCAGTCCTGCTACACTGCCTTCCTGGTCTGATCCTGAACAGCATCTTCCAGAAACAACTGACCTGTGTGCTTCTGTTTCTAGGAGAGTGTTGGAAACAGACTGGAAAGGGCTGCAGCAAAGTAGGTGCTCATGCCTCCTTTAAACTCATCTGGCAGCACCCCAGTTGAAATCCACTGAGGTGAGCACAGGCAGCATGACAGTGGCTCTCAAGCAGGGTACCACCAAATTCAGAAATTATGGAGGGTTTTATGAACAATGAGAACCACTGCCTTTGATGAAACATAATATCTTGGTATCCTACTATTTAATTAAAAATGTTCTGACCAACAGTTCTGTAGAGGCATAGGCCAAGCATATGAAGTCTGGGAGCAAATGCATTGACTCTCAGTTCCTTTCTACTGAAAAGTACAGGAGCTTCAGAAGTTCTGCTTGCAAGAATCCCTCTGCTAATTAAGAATGCAAGAATCCTTTTGGCAGGCAGGTCACAAATTAGCCCTATGCCCTCCCCAAACACAACTCCAATCCCCTTTTCTCAGCCCCATCTACTACTCTGCTTTCTGAGCTATCTGCCACTGTGCTGCTCGTCTCCTCCCCGATCTGCCACGTGCCCCACACAGAGGCTGCTCAAGCCACTTGTGGCATGCGCTGCAGGCTGGCCACCCTTGGGTGGGAGGATTTTGCTGACTAGATCATCATTAAAAAAACCCCAGAGTATCCTGTAAGGAAGGGGAAGTGTTTTGTTCCTGAAGTCCAAAGCATCACTGCCTTTCCTTCAACCACACACAAGCTAGGAGTCTGGGAAATCCCAAGTTCAGCATCCCTTCAACCCAACAAGACCTTGGTCTTTATGGAAGTGAAAGGTGCCATACAGCCATTGGAGAGTTCAGAATGGCAGTTTCTTGCCTACCTTCTCTAACCATGTAACAGTTCTCTTATTATCACGGGCCCTCAATGGCATTTGTTATAAAAGGCTAAAAAAACCAGTGGTACAACAGTGGCAGCCTGAACTTACCATACATTTGCCCATTTATGCAACATTTTTTGAACGTCATGATGTTCTGTGTGAGCGTTCCCGTCTTATCTGAGAAGATATAGTGGATCTGTCCAAGCTGCTCATTCAAAGTGGTGGTTCTGGCCTTTGCAGCTGTATCCTTTTCAGGGTAATACATTTGCAGGTCCCAGTTTATAAAGTAGCTTTGGCCCAAACGAATCACTTCAACACTGAGCAAAGTAAAGAATCTTCTGACAGGTGACTGTATATTTTAAAGCATTGGGGTTTTATTAAATCTGCAAAGCTCTGAATAAGTTTTCAAGGATGCTAGTGGAGCAAGCGACCAGTGTTGTCTAATTTTTTGGATTTTAACACACCAGATAAAATACTAGTTTTATATTTCAAACAAGGAAGGTAGAGACTACTTGAGACAATGATTCAGAGTGTGTACCTCAGTTTAACAACCCTGTAGCAGTCAAAAAAAAAAAAGAGGCACAGGAGTATCCAGGACTCTGCAGTGGGAGTGCTGCTACCACATCATTGGAGTCACAATTATGTCCAAGAGTAGGATTTGAAGTACAGAAAATATGTCAGCTGAAGGATAATTAGGACATAGACTAAAAGCTAAGATAAAAATAAACCTACTGAAGTTGTACAGAGTAGTAAGCTATTTTTTTCTTTTAATGTTGAGGTCTAGAAGGCATTAATGAAAATTCAACACGGGGCCTAATCTTGCAAGCAGTTTCCTCCACATTCTTAAAAGAACTGCAGAAATAACTAGATACTGAAGAAAATACTAGTGGATCTGGTTTCTAGTTTTACAAAGCATACATACCAGGGGAGTTCATGTTTAGGGTTACTACTGAAAAATAACTTTCTATTCCAAAAGCATCTTTTAAAAAATAAATGATGCTCTGTAAAATCTCCAAGACAAAACATTAATGGTCACGTACTAATGCCATCCATAAAAACCTGATTTAAACTAGATTCAGTATTATGCCAGTCCTAGTCACATGTTCAGATCTCCAGCCACTTAAGCCTGATGCTATGAAAACAAAACGGTCTAGTGGTTTGTACATTCATATCTTGAGTCAAGGTTGCCCATTACAACTACACAGTGCTAATTATTTTCCCTTAAAATATCAATAAAAGGAAAACTGGACAAACACATCATCCTTTCGGGAAGAGAAATGTTAGAGAAAACCTTAGGAAATTGAAACTCGCTTCATTTCACCTTTTAATCAACCACAGTTTCAATATTTTAAATGCAAAGACATGTATTTACCTCACATATAGGGAAATGGGAACCATGGTGTTGAGAACAATGATGTACCCCCAAAAGTTAAGGAAGCCACGGTAAGGAGGGCTATAGTTTTGTCCATCATAGAGGTACCAAGAAGAATTGCCGATCTGCTGCTCCCAATAAGTGTGTCCAATAGCAAGACCAGCTGACAGCAGGATAAGGAGAACAAAGATCTAGAACATAAAAAAGATCACTCGTGACACTTCCAAAGGGCAGCCTCACTTCCTAGGCTGGATCTCATCTGTAAGCTTTCTGAAGAAGTTTCTCCTAAGACACTCAGCTCTCCAGTGCTTGAGATGAGAACATTAGTTCATTTTAGTAAAAAGGGAGGTGGGGGTGGAAATCCATCAGCTAAACTAGTTCCCTCTGAATGACTGATTTTAAAAAGGGACACTTGCCAAGATGCCAATTAATTAAAAACCACTCCCTTGTCTGCCCTTAGTAAGATATTAAAACAGGTTTCACTACAAAGCCATGTATATCTGAACTGAACATTTTTAAAAGTCTAATTTTTACATTTTACTTTCTCCAGAACCCCTGCCCCCCAAAAAACCAACAAAAAAACCAAGCTCTAACTCAGTGAAGGGTCTGGAATGCAAATATTCTTCAGTTTTCAGATTGAAATTAATGTTACCTTCCTATTTGCAGCCTAGGATTCCAACACTACAGATGAATGTTAAAAAAACCCCAACAACAAAAAACCTATTGGATCCAAAATAGTATTACTTACCTGAAACGTTAGGAACCTGAATACAAGAGTTCTGTCCTCAAAACTCCAGCCTATTAGATGCCTATACTCAAAGGCAGTGTTTCTCAACCCATGGGTCATGACCCAAAAGTGGGTCGTGAGAATATATGAAAGGGTTGCAAACAAACTTTAAAAAAACAGATCAACAAATTGTAAAAATGGGTTAAAAAGCATTGAAAATGGTGGTTTTTCCCTTGCAGGCTGTCAGAGTTCCAGGGGGGGCAGGGGGCAGTGGGTCAGGGGTGAATGGCACAGGGTAAGGACCAGCTATCAATGTTTACAAATGGGTCCTGGCACAAAAAGGTTGAGAACCACTGCTCTAAGGCGCACAGATTCCCAGACGTTTAGAGCTGGAAGGGACCTGTAAGCATCTACATTTTACCGGTAAAGTCCCTTAAGCATCTAAAGCTCTGGTTCTGCACATGCTCCATCATGGCAGAGCATGATATTTAGCCCATGTCTAAACCTGACTATAACCTTCACATTAAGCTGCCTCTGCGCAAACCCCACCAGAATCCAATCAAGCAGGAACAGTCTATCACATATGCACCTGAAGGATTTAGTTTAGTAAATACAGTGGCCACTTTCACTTTCTTCAAAACAGGGTAAGGTGTTGTGATTAAAGCACCCAGAAACGTCCTGCTCACTGCTAAGGGAGTTCCAACTTAAGTTTCTCTTGACCTAATCACTGGTGTGGGACAAGTGGCTCTCTTCACTCCTCAAGTTGCAGCTATTCCTCTTGGCAGCAAGAGATTCAAAGTTCCTGGGGCAAGATGCAGAAGCAAGACTCTCCAGCCTACTGATAAGGGCACTCACCGGGCAAGAAAGAAACTAGGGTTCTGGTCCCTGCTCCAAAGGGACCAGAGGGGTGGAGATGCCCAGAATAGCCTATGGCTTTGTGGTTAAAATATGCTTCGCGATGGAGGAAACAAGCTTTCCATGAGAAACTTCTTTACTTTGTCATTTTTTCTCCTGTAGATAAATCCACGTGTAGCCTTCACATAGATTGACTTTTAAGGTTGGTTGCCCAAAGTTAGTTCAGAATTTATGCCATAGCATTTCTGTCTATGAATAATGACTATTCAAACTGGCCATGAGAGGACAATAATCCCAGTCTGAACTTCAAAAATGTGAAATGAACAACCATGCAAAATTAAATAAAGCGTGTTACCGTGTAAACCATGTAGTTCATAAGGGAGTCAATTTTAGTTCTTTTAAATCTGGTCTTTCCGCTGTTTTTCATTATTTTTGTGTCTGCTCCTAAAAATAGGGGAAAAAAAGTAGAGACATCAAGTGTGGTAATTACTCGCTAAAAAAAACATTACTGGCACAACTTCACAGCCATGGTTTTGGTCCAGTTCTTGCAGGGTACAAACATGGAGCCCTAGCCTGCAGTGTGCTGAGCAGTCAGGACTCGGAAGAGGCACACAGCAATGGGACCTGAAGGCCCAAAACACCTTGTAAAGCCCAGTTCTTTAAGGTCCAATCCCTCATGCAGGTGCTGTGATTGAAGTTACCAGAAGTTCCCTGTGCTGGGTACTTACTAAATGGAGCCTTTGTCTTTTATCAGCTGACCTTATTGTACTCAACTCATGTTATATGTTTATGCATTATATACATACCTGCAAATACAACCACTCCATGACAGTAGTCAGTATTCCTGATTTTACAGCCACGTAACAAAATTTTATCGGCATCCAACGGATAACTCATGTTTCTCCAGACTAAGGTTCCTGTAAACTTATCTAGTCGGTTATTGGGTTCTTCACATTCGATTAAACCTAACAAAACAAATGCACATGTTTGGACATAGAATAGAAATGTACATGTTACTGGACAGTGTACAAGATTTTAGTTTATTCCTCCTGCAGACATGCTCAAAGTCCATTACAACAAGTAACATTTTAAAGTGGGTTTTCTGAATGGAACATTTGTTTGAAACCAAGTGCACAGATACTCAGCCCTGTATTGCAGTGTATTTTTAATATGGCAGAGTCCTTGATATTTTTATAAATTTAATCCAAAGACTGCAAATGCATAGTAGCAGTATTACCTTTCTACATTAGCTATGCTATAGCAACTCCTCGTAAGGGGGCTTTCAGATGATATTTCTGTTGTTTCTCAAGCCTTGACCACAGTATGCAAAGTATAGGAATGAAAGTCTCTCCTACTGGATCATGTATGCTCCAAGCTGTGTTGCTCAAAACGGCATCAAATGAAGCTTTATTTCTGAGACATAAGTGACATGCACAGGTGTGCATATACCCCAAGTAAAAATATGCTTCAATTTTATACTTTTTGAAACATTCTGGCTTTTCTTTGATCTTGCAAACTTTTGGCCCAAAGGTTACAGCAATTTATCTTACTGTCTTTTGTAACCTTAGTTTTGTGAAATTCATTTATTGCTCTTGCGTATTCTAGGATTGGCTTGGCCAGGTCTTTCTGCATTTGTCTCCAAATTGACATTTCGGATTACAAGGTGTTTATGAACTATTGCACAGAAATCCAGTTTCCACTAATAATTGAACAAAAAGTGGGTGACTGCATACAGACTGACAGACAAATCGGCAAGCAATGGGCAAGTGACAGCAAAAAACTTCTATGATATCAAGCTGTCATGCAGCACTTTTCAAGGGACAGTACCTCTAGTCCTGCTTCACAGATAGGGAAACTGAGGCAGACAGGCTAATTGCATGGGTGGAAACAGAATCTGGGCTTTCTATTTTAATCTACTGCTCTCTGCAGGAGACAACGCTGTCTCTTTACTATTCACTTATCTCTATTGCAAGCCCGTTCAAAATACAATGTTTAATTCTAATGTCAAGTATTTGCAAGTCCAAGACTGCTGGAAGAGCTCCACTAAAAGAATAAATCTTTCTCTCAGGAAGGGAAATAGGATATTTGGAAAACGGAATACTTTATCTTTACACAGATGGATTATAATGGGGAATATTCAAAAACGCTTAGAAACTGGACATATCAATAAATTCTTTTCACATCCCCTGCCCAAAAAAGTCACAGTAGCAAGTGTTAGATAAGGATCCCTATTTTGGTCCACTAAGTAGGGAACAGCATGTCTGTGACTAACATGAAATGCTGCTGAGCAAAATATAAAATTATTTCAGTCAAATCTGTTGCTTGTTTTTATATCAATATGTAGCACAAAGAATGCATGCAACAGCTCAGCTAGAGCTCAAGGATTTAATATTATTATAAATGGTTTGAGCTATGCTTAAATAGTAGTAAAGACAGCAAAGAGTGCTCATACAAACCGTCAAATCTTGCCAAGGCACTTTCTTCCTGGAGATATCTGTCTGTTACCTCAAGTGACATTTTGAACTTTAAGTTTGTTTCACTAAAAGAAAAAAAGGTTGTCCATTTTACCAAGGCCTGAGAAATGAAGAAAATTTGAAGTAATAGGAACAAAATTCACTATGGGAAACTGGATGATCATGTTTCAGGTATTTTGAGCTCACCTACATTACCAGGCAAACATACTGACAAAACAATATATTTGCTGACAAAAAATCATGTTATTAAATTTCCCCACAAACTGCATGGCTTATTCTACAAATACATATACCAAATATATACTTCTTCTGGAATATTACTAGCACTCAAGTGTGAAAACTCTGGCAAGATCTTCAATTCAGATTTCTATTTCCCAATAAAATAATTGCAAGGCAGAGCAAGCACATGCCTTGCACAGTTCAAACAAGGAAAAACCAAATAATGCAACAGTCACTCAAGCAATGCAAAGCAGAATATTCCATGTTGTGCCTATGAGCTTACACTTCACTAATAGCAGAGTTACAGCACAACTGCGATAATATTCAAAGGAAAAAATAGTTTATTGTATTCTTCTATTAAAGTCCTTTGTTGCAGAAACAAACTGTTGTAAAACCAGTTCTCAACAGCTTGGTTCTTCCCTCATCTTGATAATTTTATGTTGATTAAAAAAAAAAGGCAGGGGATCATATTACACTGGGGTGGGCAATTATTTCGGGCGGAGGGCCGCTTACTGAGTTTTGGCAAGCCATCGAGGGCTGCATGACAGGCAGCCCAGGGCAGATAAATATTAATTTTCTATATTTTTTAGGGGCCCCGTGGGCTGGATACAGTGGCCTGGCAGGCCACATCCAGCCCCCGGGCTGCATTTTGCCCAACCCTGTATTACAGTAATAAAGCAGAGATTTGGAAGTTTCTATTTAATGGAAATTTCCATATTCCCTGACATTTCTTCCTGTACATTTCATAGGTTCAGCTTGTTCGTCATCTTCCACATATTTGTGCTTGTCCACTCAGCTTCTAAATTACATCACTGAAAATAAAAAACGGAAGCTAATACTGCAATAAAGGATAAGGCTAATCATGATGATGATTATGGTATGAGAGAAGCTGCTTAGTGCCACTGGTTTCCTAATGCTTGAGAACGCTGTTAAAAACTGAAGTAGAATCTAAAATTCAACTACCGACAAAAGCTCTAATGGAGAAAACCAAAACATGCTCCTTTGCACTTGCCTAGAATTCAAAAGGCACCTGGATTTTAACAATTACATAGATTTTCAGGGACTCTCAAAGATCACAGGAAGTTGCATGGTGAAATCAAAGCAAGGTTTGCTTTACAAATCACTAGACATCCACTGTATCATATTGCAAAGACCACATACTTGCATAAAGGAGCAGACAGCAGGGCAGGGTGGCACTTAAGATCAACTCATTCGGAGAGTACTTGACAAATTAGGCTGTAGCCTATGAAAACTAAAAGCTCATGCCTCTCTCAATGACTTGGATCTCTAAGGCTGCCTCTCCATGCGCTAATTAGTTTGCATGCTAATTAGAACATGTGAGAGCAGACTTGATAAACTGAGTCTGCTCTGACATGTTCCAGTTTGAATGCAAACAACACTGTCACATGTATTAAGCACCCCCAGGTTTCAAAATGGCTGTGGGCGCACTTTAACTAAGACTCATTCTATGAAGTTTAGTTAAAGCGCCCCTGCAGCCGTTTTGAAATGTGTGGGGCTTAATACATGTGACATTGAGCCATTTTCATTAAAGTGGCTGCCTGGGAACTGCTCTAATTAAAATGCGCCCCCCACCACTGCCAAGCAGGTGTATATGCAACTTAAAATACCACCTTTCCCTGCCTTCTGCCTAATTTCAGGTTAACGTGGCTAACTACCTCTCTCGTTTACATAAAAGCTCAACTGCTAGATTTTAGTACCTGTTACTTGCAAACATAATGTCATCTAAGGTCTTCCTAAACCAGCTTCATTTTAGAGTCATCAAATATATTTATTGTTAAAACAAGTACTACCCATACCGCAGACCAGGCAAATTGTTGGTCATTAATGGACAGGTCTTTAAACTATGACTCCGAAAATAATACAACCAAAGACAAAGCATAATATGCATTTTTGTGCTTTTCCCATTAAAACAAAAATAGCATCTATGGAATCCAGTAAGTCTTACCCATCTAGTTCAGCCGTCTCTACGTAACAAAGGCTGTTCGGTTCCGAGCTGGACAGCAGCAGAATGTCAGCCTAGGCAAAACACCACGATTAATAAATACAGGGCAACCCGCACAATCCAAAACTCCAGACATGGAATGAATCTTAAAGGCACTTACAGGGACAAAGGAGTTTTTCTTCAAACGTAAGACATCACCAACTTTAATGTCTTTCCACTTTGTATCTTTGAACCTGCATGTCAAAATAACTTAATGATTACTATTATTCTTTTAGTACAGTATGTACATAAACCTTGAAATATTCCTTGTTTCCCAATAGACTATTTCAGTGTCGATAACTAAGCCTTGCATCTTTCGAGACTTTTTAGAAGCTGCAATTCAGAAGGGCTTTTTCATTTAAAAAGAAAAAACATCATTCAAATCTCTTCCTCTCTAACCAAAGAAACAGATTTAGTTTTATCATACTATTTTAAGGGTTGTTTTTTTCAAACTACCAATTGTTTATGGGTAATTCACTTTAACTGCAAACAGGAGTTACACATAAAAATATATAAACACTTAAGAACAGAAGCCTAAATCTATAACTCTTAGTATGCAAGAATAATTAGTAAGACCTGAACAAATATTGCTTTCAAAGTTCAAGCAAGAATTGTACAATACCTTGCTTCCTTGATAACATCACATGTCCGGTTATTAACTTCATTATCCATTCTATGGCGAGCCTTAAAGTGGGAAGGTGGAGATAAAGTGTTCTCATTACATATATAGATATATATTACAAAATTAAGAACAAACTCTATGTCAATATGAAGAAAAAGTTTCTTACAACATCATCCACTAGGTCTTTGATTGCAGTTATTCCAAGAACCAGGAGTAAAGGCACTAGTGTTGTGTACCATGACAGAGTAGTTATTTGAGGAATTGCCTGCAAAAAAATTGTTGAATTCAAAGTTTATTTTGGACATTAAAATGCAACATTCTTACCCTATCAGCAAAGAAATAGTTACTAAGCTGGGTCTGTAAATGTGAGTTTAAAAAAATTCAATAGATAAATAATTAAGGAACATCCCCGCTAGTGAATAAAGGGAAAAATACCAGTAGTAAGATTAACAGTAATTATTTGTATTACATCAGCACTTAAGAGCCCCAGGAATACAGCAGAAAGCCTATGTGCTAGGTGCTGCACATAAAGCATTGAGATGGTATCTCCCTCAGAGTTCAAAATCCAGTAATTCCAGTAATTGCAAGTAATTCCAAGCCAGGAACACAAGATATAAATCTAAATACAAGCTAAAGCAATTAATGGAACAGTGTACTTTGTCTAATGCACATATTAAAAGGCACTAGATTTTTTTCAGAAGTTTACCTGGAGTAGTTTATAAAATCATGTGTAGTTTCATGCTGCAGTGAATCATGTCAGATATTCAGCTGCACTACCAAGCCAGTCAAATAATTTTTATAATCCTCTCTACTAAACAATTAACTATGTTTTACCTGTAAAATAAGAAGAATCAGGAAATAGAAGTTGGCTGCTCTTTTAAACTGCTCAAGTAGATTCAAGGGTAAAAAGGTGATTGGATTGTACTTGTAGGTCTTAATTGCATTCCCCTGTAGAAAAGAGAAGTAAAGCATCATTCCAAATAGCAACACATACATTAATAGACACGTCTGCAATCCAACTGGCGTGTCATAAGGCAGTATGCTTGGAATTGCCTCTGCTAATGGCTGAGAGAATGACATGATTATACAGCCAGTTTAAGATGGATCGTTGTCTTGATCAAGGTAAAGTGCACAGGCAGTTTAGCTAGTATTCTTTTCGAAATCTACCCATTTAAAAACTTAAATTCTAGCAATCTTTTAAAAAGAAAATGATCAATAATGCTGTGCAAATCAAAGACCTAGGAAAGGAATATGCAACCTTTCACCTCTAGGTGACTCCTTCAAACGCAGCCCAGGACAATTCCAGATGAGAAATCACTGCTGCCTGCTGGCTATTTAATGCTTTAATTGCACCCCTGCAAGAAAAGCAGGGAAAAAAACTGCGTAACTAGCCATATATAATCATTCCAGAATGATTTGGTCTCTGTGGCTAAATACAAATGTTCCAAAAAGGTAAAAAAAAGTCCTTGGCAGAAGTACTATATTACACTTTATTTAAAAACACTATACGTTAGAGGGGGAATGAACCAAACAGGCATTCACCACTTGGTGGGGGGATGCTCGGTGCCTGCCTGAACTGGCCAGGGCCAGCAGGTGGGAGACGCTATGGCATGCCTCCCAGGAAACTACTCGAGTAGCCCCTCTCCCCAGCCCCGCCAGCTGGGGATTGCAAACATCAGCTGGGAGTGTGGAGGGCCCCCCCTCTCCCAGGGCTAACTGGGGTCTCGGGGGTAGAGGGCCAGATCTGTATGGCGGAGGGGGCTCCCCTCTCCCCCAGCCTCTTGACAGCTGCAGTGAGGAGCTGCTGCATGGGGTTGCCTGGCTCGGCTTCTTGCCGTGCTGGGACCTGGAGTCAGGGGGAGGGGGGCCCTGCTGCACAGACCCAGCCAGGCTCCCCCCGCCCCCCAAGACCCCAGCCAGCAAGCTGTGGAGGGGCACCCTTGTGGCAGGGGGGATCCCATTCCCCCCCAGCCCCAGTTCCCAGCACGACAAAAAGCCAGTTTAGACAGCCCCATGCTGCAGCTTCTGGCTGCTGTTGTTAGGAGGCTTGGGCAGACAAGGACCCTCCCCAAAGCTTGCTGGTTGGGGTCTCAGGAGGGTCCCAGCCAGTTCCACACGGCAGGGGGGCTCCCTTCCCCTCTGCCCTAGCCTCTTGACAGCTGTAGCCAGGAACTGAAATATGGGACTACCTGGACCAGCTTTTTACCACACCAGGAACTGGGGCTGGGGAGGAAGGGAGGTCCCCACCACAGGGATCCAGCCTCCACCGAGAACCAAGCTTGCAAGATCGTGGAGGAGGAAGGAGCTGCACGGCAGAGAAGCTCCATTTCCCCACCCCACCCAGCTGCACGGGGAGGAGACAGAGTACGTTCAGGTACTCACCAGGGCAGACAAGCACTGGTTATGACTAGCAAGTTGCCCAATGAGAGGCCCCTAGGATGGCAGCAGAATGCAACCTATACTGAAGTACGATGGATATGGTAAAGATGTTCAAAAAAGCACTCCAACCTAAAGCACTTTAGTTTAATACCACATCCATTGAGAGTTAACTTAGAGTGGGATCCACCATTTTAAGATGCTTTAAGTGCCATTAACCTCTGTTCTGTTATGGCTTTCTGTACAGGCTTTCTGCACACTTAATGCACATTAAGTGTAACATCTATACCTAGATTGCATGCACAGCCAGCAAAGCAATCTGCATGCTACTGGCAGTCCAGTGGCCAAGTCCACAGTAGGAGCCTATTGCCAGAATACGCTGCTTTCTGTATATGACACTGTCACTGTGCCAGCAGAGAACTTACAGTGCGGACCCAAAATAAAATAGCAAAACTGTATTTTTGGCAGCAGAGCTCATTGCAGCATCCTTCAAGTGAAATAAACTGTGCTGGCAGAAAAGTTTTCTTCCGGCACAACTGCACCTGCACTAGGAGCTATTGCTGAAATAGTTTCATCAGTCAGGGATCACTTCATAATACTTATGACTAATAAAGCTAAGTCAACAGAAGTCTATAACGTGAACCTTCGTTCGTGCAACTGGAAAGATTATACTTGTCCACCTTTATAAAACAGTTTAAGGTGTATTACATGTACATCATTTACTTTTTTGGGAACGCCTTATTCTAAATCAACAACTGCTCCTTCTGTTAAGAAATAGCCATCAATCATATATAAAGGAAGATTTATCTCAAAGGAATTATATATATATATATATATATAAAGGAAAATAGCTTACTGCATATTTGCTTTTATTACAGCATAGAAATGTTGTTTTCTGAAATTGGGGTTGTTCATGGAAGTTTCGGTCGTTTGCCTTAACTTGCCAGCTGCAATCTGAAACGAGAATGCCACAGGTAGTAAAGTGAGCCATAAAGCCTGAGTACTCAGGAAGATGAAGAAAATCTACAGCTAGAAGTCTTTTCAATTTTTAAATGGCAATTTACAGTGAAAACAAAGCTGACTTTGTGTATCTTTTTTGGTTTTCTATGTGATGTTACAAAATACCTCAGCCTTAGTTGTTCTCGGGTGCTTTTCCTTCTATTTTTTAAAAGCTTCCTGATTATTTGATTATTTTTACAACAATAAAAGCAGTGTCCAAACCAAGAAATGCTCATCTTGCTGTTAAGAGACCCTCAGCCCACCGGAAACTAGAACCCAAAATAAAATAAGAAAAATAAATCAGTTCAGAGATAATTGTGTCCCGGGGTGCTATTATTCTTAACCTGGGATTTTGCAAGCAAGCTGCGGCTGGGGAGGAAGGGCCAGTGCCCTGTGATATGCCTGGGGGGAGACATAACCCAACAGCTTAAACTTTTGCTCCAAGAAGGCAATTTAATAATGACCACCAAAAGTACCTCCCACGGACGTTCTTTGTATTTCCTTGGTCTTCTAATTTGTCCATTCACACTTCCTATGTGGAATGGACAAATTATGTTGCCCCTTTCTTTTGCTCATATGCCTCTGCCTGTCCCCACCACTCCTTTCCTCAGGCTTTTTCCTTGCTCATCTTGTATATTCTAGCCCCTCTCTTCCTTGTTTTATCTATTCACTGCCTGCCTTTCTACCTCCCCAATCTATCAGTTTCTACTTCTGCCCTCAGGCACACACATTGTTGTTAACCCTACTTACCTTGCTCCCACACCTAAAAAAAAAAAAAAAAAAAAAAAAAAAAATCAATTGAATCAGGCCCTGCCCCTGCTAGAGGAAAAAAACCCTCCTGATTAACTGGTCCAGCAGGTTTTCAAACATGTTTTGTCTACTCAGTTCACATGAGACAAAGGCCCCTCACCTATAACAGCAGATGATCTCCCCCCTGCCATCCCCATAATCACTTATCTGGCTGACCCAAAAGATAAGGAATCTAGGTTTTTTTTAAAATCAAAACATTTTCCCAGTTAATACAGAAAAGACTGAGGGTGACAGCAGGATTTGAAGCTTAAGTAGTAGAGGAGAGCTTGATTGGTTTAATAAAAGGATAGGTGAAATGGCTGGCTGCAAAAGCAGGGGAGAATACACTTGGTGACCCAGTAAGATCCTTCCAGTCCTATGTTTCTGTAGAAGACTAGCTTCACTGTCTTTTTCCCACCCTTCCCCCCATTAGCTGCCATCAATCATAATAGTATTGGCAGGCAATAGTAGCAGTTATGAATGCACACCTGCCACACATTTCTCCCATGCAAGCTGTTTTATTAGATACCAAAAGCCAAATTCTGCTCTCTCACATCTGCTTATGTGGCAATTAGAAGTCTACTGAAGAAGTATGGAAGACCAATAAGAATGTAGCCCTGAAAAAGCAACTGATCAGGTGTTGCCCAAAAGCTGAGAACACAGCCCAAGCAAAGTCCCAAATCCAGTTGTATCCGGCAAATGCAAGAAGTAGCTCCCCCATCCTGCTTGACACATACAGGTATTCTCAGGTAGTTTCCAGTGATTAAGTAGTTTGTGTTTCCAACACTATTTATATTCTAAATGAATGCTCAAAGTGCATCAGCATAGAAGTCTCCCACCCCTTTAGCATAACCCCTGTGCTGCCTCGTTCTGAAGAAAAATGCTGCTTTGCATAGACAGTGCAGAGAAGCATTTTATCCATTATATAAGTTATTTTTTGTTTAACTGCAAAGAATATTAAAATGCTTTGTGGGTGTTCCCTTGTAAGGGCCTAGATGGAAACCTTGATGTCAAATTAAAATTTAAAATAAATAAATAAAAGTTGCTTAAGTGCTGTTTGAACTCTGTTTTAACAAAAGTGAGTTTCTACCACAAACTGGACCAGTGATCAACCACATCAAGTCAAAGCAAGCACCAATGAATATGGTCACTAGGCCCGTGCAAAACTGCTAGTATTCACTTAGGATTTGGCCAATTTAGGGGACAGTGATTTGATTGGGTGATTCGAATCACTGTCCTGAATTAATTCAGCCAAATCTGATTTGGAGATCTGGCCGCTGCCGAATCTCCGAAACAAACAGGAACCATCCCCTGCCTTCTCTGCCAGCCATGTCAATGGCTGCCCCACCTGCCCCAGCGTCCCAGATCTTTAAAAAAATTTTTTAAAAAGCCCCGCACTCACTGGCTCCTGCCAGATGGGGAGGCAATCCCCACTGCACACTGCTGCCCTGCGCAGCATGGGGGCTCTGCTGTGAGCCCCCAGAAACCCTGGTGGCTGCTGTAGCAGCTGGTAAGTGAGGCTTTTTTTTTTTTTTTTTAATTTTACGAGCCAGGACATTGAGGCTGGGTGGGGCAGCCATTGATGGGGCTGGAAGAGTGGGTAGGGGATGAGGGCTCATGGCAGAGGCCCCCTATGCAGCAGAGCACAGCAGGGATCACCCCCTCCCCCTGCATCTGGCAGCAACTGGTGAGTGCAGAGCTTTTTTTTTTTTTTTTTTTTAAAGAGCTGGGAGCTAGGGCAGGGAGACTGGGTGGGAGTCAGGGGATGCTCAGAGGGGCTGGGGGAACAGGCAGGGGATGGAGCCTGGCAGGGGTCCCCCAATGGTCCCCTCCCCCCTCCTTCAGTTCCCCCCCCCTGCCCTCTACTTACCAGCACAGAGTCAGGGTCCAGCTCCCTGCAGTGGCAAGTGGGGACTGCCTGAATCTCTCTGAATCTTTTCGGAGAGCTTTGAATCAATTCAGACCTTTTTACTGGTCTTCCGATTTGATTCAGATTCAAAGATTTGGCCACCGAATCGGGCCGAATCTCCTCTGAATTGAATCAGCACCTGAAGCTTCACACAGCCCTAATGGTCACATGTTTAAAGTGCCATATACTTTGTCAAGGTAATCAAGTCAGAAACTGGTTTAAACCTGCAACAGACCAGATGTTCAGTGCACATGAACTGCTTTCAAAATGGACACAACTGGTTTAAAATAAACCTGGTTGAATGTAGTATCAGACTTACCTGATTTAGGTCAAACCAGTTTATGGAACTTCTGTCCCAGACCCCTTCCTGGTTCAAGTTAACTCACAGTCCCCCAGCATCCCAGGATGCTTTGCAGCTCTGGGCTGGGCTGTGCTGTCTGCTCCAGAGAGCAGGACTGACTCTGCCCCCCTGCTCTTTAGCTGGAGCACTATCACTGCTCCGCCTGGCTGAGAAGGGCGTGGGGTGGGAAACCCAGTTCCAGACCGCAGCCAGGTCTGCCTGCCGAGCATGGAGCAGCCCCTGCCAGGCTTTTCCCTACTCCCTGCTCATGCAGAGGGGGTAAGAGTGTGGCCAGACACCAGCCCCAAGCCAGCACACTGAAGCAGAGGGAAGGGAGAAGAGTTTAAACTGCTCCCCCTCCTTCAGACTGCTGGCCCGGGGCCAGCATCTAGCCACACCTCTGTCCCCTCTGCTCAAGCGGGAAAAAGCCTGGTAAGGGCTGCTTCCTGCCTGCCCCCACAGAGACACCCTGGCCAAGATCTCTGCAGGCCATGGTGGGGGTTTAAACCCCTCTCCCCAATCATACTCAGCAGGCCTGCCAGGGCCTGGCCATGTGCCCCTGCCTCCACCACTCAGCTTGTGCAGGGAGCAGGAAAAGCCTGGAGGGCTTCTCTCCCAGCTTCCCTCCAGCCTTCCTGCCACTGCCAAAGGGAAGGGAAGGCATGCTGTAGCGCCCCCCCCCAACTTCTAGCCTGATCCACTGCAGGCATGTGGCAGCATTTCCAGAATATCTGTTCACTTGCTTCTCGGTTCAATCTACACAGCTTAGACTAACCTGCAAAGATTGAATCAATTCAGCCTCAGGCTTTTTGACTGTCTGTACTTAGCCCAAGAGAGCTGTGAACTCCCATTCTTTCTGAAAAGTGTTAGCTTTGAAGCTCAATGAGTAAGTGCTAGAGTTAGATGCCAAAACAAGTGACCATAAAATTGCAGGCTGAAACTAAGTAAAAATCCACAAAGTCCTGTTTCTGATGCTGCTAGTAATACATATTGTCCTTTCACCCTGAGGATATGCAGCTAGAACATATATTCTAATTGCATAGAAGAGACAGTCTTAAGTTATTTGGTCTTAAAAATCCTAAAAACATAAAAACTACAAAGTGAGCTCCTACCTCAAGATAGATTACATCATTTTAAAATACCTTTGAACACTTTTTAAAAAATATAATTTTTAATGACAATAATAATTTATTTATTTAATACCATAACTAAAAAATGATGCTGGCTTCAAAACAAAAATCACGTGTTCTCTAATTTACAGAACCTGACAGCAGAACAGCAATAGACCTGACGCTGATCTATCACACAATGAAATCTTTCTGAAGTAACAAACAAGAAAGTTAGCATATTCATCACTGTTTCAGTTTATTCTCCAGATTCACTGACACTACAATAGTAGTAGTGAGAAACAGATTATTCACAGTTTTTGTATCATTCTTTCAGTACTCCAGGCAATTGTTCAATAACATTTTTGGGACGCTACCAAAATGTGTGTCCAACACTTTCCAAAGGAAAGCAGCAGCCCATGACTTCAGAAGAACAAAAAGGTTTCAATACCACTGTAAAACAGTTGTAGAAGTAATTGCCCCCCAAAAATCAATATAAAAACAGAACTGAAACACAAGATAGTCTTATTTGAAGTCCTAATTGTAAAATACTCAAGTGCCAGATACAAATGCCTTCGGCATATTTCTTAATTACTGGGCTCAGTTTGGACCAAACTCGAATTTTATGATGTCAGATCATGGCATAGAGGTAGACTGGTTAGCTGGCTGGCTGAATATCCACAGCCAGCCTTAAAGACCTAGTAAAGATCAATTCAGGATCTGCAGGGGCTACATACCTTTGGGATTTGTTTTTATAATGGCTAGATCATGGTGTGCAGTCAATTGAATTTACTGAACCACAAGGATCAAATAGTCAGATTAAATTTTGTTTGTAGACAAGAGTGAATCAAATTTCTAGTGAATACTAGTCAATCTAAAATTATTGTATATTAATCTACATATGCTTATTTGAGAAAGCATAAATAATATTTAAATTCTTACAAAATATACTGAACAAATGAGATGCATAGAACATTTTACCTAGCTAGTAACTATAAATAAAAATAAAGGTTCAGAGTATTATTTGATTTCTATCACAGTATTACCTTTCTTAACTGGTTCTCTACTCTCCTCTGCTTCTCTGTTGATTCGGTTTTGCTCTGGTTCAACTGCAGGTTGCTGACTATCCAATTCATCCTCTGTTTCATCATCACTGTAGGGCATCACCTCATCATTTGGCTGAGAGTCCTCATCAAAGGTGGTCTCTGAATCCCTTTCAGAATTCATTTTGCCAGCAGTCTGCAAACAAGTAAAAGGAGATAAAGTGATATAAGAAGATAGATAAGAATGTTTTTCTTAGCTCTGCCTGTAAACCTTTGCCAACCAAACCATGTTAAAAAGCTAGGTCTGCTAGAACTGTATAAACAGAATTCAGACTCCATTTTTAAACATGGTTGGAGTTAATAGGATAGGGTGCTCAGCCTAAAGACTTATTATTACATCTGTGTTTTTTCAACATTTGAACAGAGTACTATGATGATGATACTAATTATGACATAAGAGAAAAAAATAAGAGTACTAATATCTTGATATACCCACAAATTCTAAGAGACCTTACTCAGTTTATGATTATTTAAATTGTCAGAGCCATTGCATTACACCTTACCATCAACTCAAAACTTCAGCATAATACTGGAGGCAGATTTCAGATCCTCCTACTTCAGAAGCATTATATCATTTGAACTAGAGGTATACTGAGGTTATCATTACAGATAACGGGTGCATGGCAATCAATTCCAATTCTGGAAGGCAACAGAAAAAGCTACTTCATTGCAATATGAGAGGATTCAATTCTTTATTTGCCTGTCAAAGATAAAGCATGAAGAACGCCCCCCACAATAAAGACTCATTCATGTTACTGAGATGTAGAACGTAGCATTCTGATGACATTTTAATTGATTAAAGCATTTGTAACAGTCAAAACACAAGCTACTTACAGTGGAAGCCATAAACAGTCTTTTAAAATTCTGGGAATTATTTAAAAACTACACCCCTGCCCCACCACCACCACCACCATTGTAGCAACCTACACACACAAATTAAAAGAATAGCAAGCTTTCACCTCTACCTGAAACTCCCTTTCAAAGCGCTGAAAACCTCAACGTCCACTCCCTTCTTCCCAAGAAAGCTACAAAAATAGATTTCTTTCCCATCTGTAGTCTACATTTTTAATTTAAATACATTTGAATTACAGCTTTTAGGAAATTGTTATAAAAATCTTTACATTTCATCTTCTCCAAATACCACCTATGATGTTGAATATAAGCAAGGTAATTAATAGGAGCCACTAGACTGCTCTACAAACAATACTTAGGTCCTAATTTCTTTTTAAAGTTTTGGAATTTTTCAGTCTTGAAAACAGGTGCTCAAGAATTTGCTGGGGTGCGGGGAGAAGGAGGGAGCATGTTGAACATATTAGCTGTAAGTCAGAACCAGAAACTATTTAACCAACCATGACCATTTTTTTCAACCCCCTCTTCTGCTTACAGTCATGTACTAGTCCCCTGAATGGACAACATTAGCAGCTGGTTAGTTGATCTCTTAGCTGGGTGGCTTAGTATTTTAATAATTGATCTGATACAGCAGTTTGGATACTTTTGACTAGTTCATTCCATTCACTTGTACTTCTCTAATGCCCAAATTGATTATATTGCAATTTACACCATTTTTATTTATTTTACTTATTAACAATTCCAGACAGATTGGTTTCAATGGTAAGCATAATAGTACTAGTAGTTTTCACAGTAGGAATTTCAACAGAAGTCCTGTGATAAAACGTCAGTGATCTCTTTGGAGCCAGGGATCCTTGCTTATGCAGCTGTCTTCAGCAAGCTGTTTGCTGACCTCTGTTCTAAGGGCCCATGGTTTTGTCAAACACCAGTGTTATCCTGTAACCCATATGCTGCTTTCATTAGCAGCAGCAACCAGCAATGCTAACACCCATTATTTGAATTGACACTGAAACCCTTCAGTGTTTCAATTAGTTTCTTCTTTTGCAAAAGCTGAAAGGTTTTTTTCCCCCCAATACTGCCTGGTGCACAGAGAAATAAATATTTAATGAGTACTTAATATTCTATACATATGACAAGACTGTCTTCCAAAAAATTCTAAAACCACCGATCCGGAGACACTATTGTATGCATACCCAAAGTATATATTATAAATTGTTTTAAAGCTGTGTTATTTTTTAGGCTTCCCAGGAGTGAGCAACTACTGTACATGATTGTATCCAAAGCACTTCACTGTATTGGTGGTCTAGCAATTCCAAACAATTTAAATTTAGGGGCTAAGGCAGTTTATATGCCAATATATAAAAATACTAACAAAAAAAACAACAACATAATAATAGCATTTTAGGTAAATACACAGAAGCATCATCTGGGAGTAAAGTAAACTTCTAGGGGGAAGGCTTTTTGTTGTAAAAAAATAATAATGGGTAAATTGAATTGAATTTAAAGATGAATACATCTTAATAGAATTAAGGATGAATTTAATCCTATTCCTTCAAGTCCTTGCCAAGTTGCCAGAAGCAGCACACTTACTGGTAGGGCTGCTCAGGAATTAGACAAGCTTATCAGAAAGAAAAAAAAAAGTTTGCTTAAAAAAACCCAGAGTTTCCAGAAACATATCCATTTCTACAAGTTGCCATTAACCTGAGTATCAGGACAGCTAGCTTCAAATCCTGCTGGATACAGACATTTGAACAGCCAAGAGGAATCTTTTTTATGTTAAAAGTTTTATTTTCATCCCAAATATAAAACAAGAAGCATCGCCAAACTCATTTTTTTTTTCCTGAAAAAGAAATTTAGTAGTTCTGACCATCCTTACTCACCAGCTGTAGAAAGGCTAAGTAGAAATGTTTTAACCACACATCTATTTTACTGACAATGCAACCAAAAAGTCATGCAGAGAAGTCTGGCATCTCACCTATGAAACATTTCAGCTGCACTAGTCACAGTGTTTGTGCTGTGCATGCTGACCAACATTAGTCCAATTATAAAAATGCTTTTAAATACGGGCCCTAATCCTGCAGCTGAAATCATGAAGCTGTACGTTGCATCTGTACAAGACCCACCAGACTGGCCTATGCTGTGCCAGGAGCAGTCTGGGAGGGGCAGAACTGAGCGCATACTTCCCACGTGCTACCAACTCACGCTCCAAACTGGACAGTAGCTCTTGAGGCTGCTCCAGTCTTGTCCCCAGCAAGAATGGAACAGCTTCCCGAATGACCTTTTGATTCTGGATCATGTCAGCAGACACTGGAGAGGAGGACTTGACTCAGTCCCATCCTCTATGGGACCCACCACTAACCCAGTATAAAGAAAAGCACTGTTATCCATGAGGCTCCTGATGAACATAGCATTCTGCCTGCGTATCGTCACAGCTTCAGGATCAGGACTATGGAGAGTTAATTTATGGCCAGTTTATGCTGGTCAAACAAGCCATGTATACTTAACATGTAAACCGCCTTAAAAAAGGATGATTTAAAATACATCCTGTCCTCCTGGTCAGGGTAGAGGACACTAATGAATAAAAGATGATAAAAGCTCAAATAACCATGACTAGGGGTCTACCTGTATATATTGCTAATAAAACTCCTGCTGTATATCAGTTCTGTAATTCTAAGGGGTTTAGCATAAGATCAATCATGGGGGTTGATCTTATAGTTCTGCCTATAAGTTCATCACGGGGGCACAGAAGGGCATTGGTGAGTATTTATTCACCAAGGCGCCCCCGGGGGTTACAAGAAATAATGGCCACAAGCTAGCAGAGAGCAGATTTAGATTGGACATTAGGAGGAACTTCTTCACAGTTCGAGTGGCCAAGGTCTGGAACGGGCTCCCAAGGGAGGTGGTGCTCTCCCCTACCCTGGGGGTCTTCAAGAGGAGGTTAGATGGGCATCTAGCTGGGGTCATCTAGACCCAGCACTCTTCCCTGCCTATGCAGGGGGTCGGACTCGATGATCTATTGAGGTCCCTTCCGACCCTAACATCTATGAATCTATGAATCAATGATTCTGGCTATGGGTACCTTTGTTTATTTTGAAAAATCATGAAGTCCTAGGGCTAGGCTAAAGTCATATTGTCTGTACTTTATTTCCCCGCCCCCTGTACAAACACAGGCTACAACATAATGTACCAGCCAACACTTCATCCTGGTCTTGAATCCTGAAACATAAAAGTTTGCTTTATTTCAGCTCTGAGAACCTGTCTCAGACTTTGAACAATGAGCTACTCGAATCTCTCGGTGCCAGCATGACATAGCCGGCCCTCGGCTGAGGCCGAGGTAGATTTTCCCAATTCAGTACTAAAACAATTGAGCCCTACCCACGTTCTTACCTCTCCTTCGACAGGTCTTACTGTATCCCTGATTAAACCCTTAGTTTTAAACATGATTCTTCCACAGCCAAAGAAGATGGAGCATTAAAGAAACAAGGTACACAATCACTCTGCACATAAATCTATTTGTAACTGTGCCTGCCACAGATTAAAGTCTGATAGGAAGAGACAAACATTATTTAATCCTTTTACCTGCTGTTGCTTTGGTGGTCGGTCCTTGAGGTGTGGGAACAGAATTTTTGTGGTAAAATTGTGAGGTGGTGCACATTAATGCAATATTTTTAAAAAGGTAAAAATCCACAAGTAATAATCAAGCCAAGGCAACTTTTTATGAAAAGAAGAGCAAAAACAGTAGGAGTAAGTATTTATTCAAATTAAAGTTTCTTAATGTGTTACCGGCAGAAGCACATCTGTAATCCTCTGTCCCTCTAGATCACTGGTGCTCAACCTTTTTGGCCTGTGGGCCAGATGGGCAGTGCCCGGCCACCCACAGGCTGGATCCAGCTGACAGTCTCGATCTGGCAAGGGGTGGTCGGGACAGGACCCCACCTGGCCATGCAGAAGCGGGCAAGGGACATGCCAGCTCCAACCCAGCTCTGCAGGGGGAGGCGGTGTAACCCAGCCCCATGGGAGGGGGTGAGGGAAAGGGGGCTTGAGTCATCCCCAACCCAACCCCACTGGGGAAAAGAGGCCGTGGGCCCAGCCCCATCCAGCTCAGAGGGAGGGACATGGCCCAGCCTCATCCAACCGTAGGGCTGGGGGCTTGGGAATTTGGCAGTGGGGGAGAGTGGCCATTGCTAAGTTTCCCTGCTGGCCAGATACCTATGGCTCCATGGGCTGCATTTGGCCCAGGGGCAGAGGTTGAGCACCCCTGCTCTATTCTATTAACTCATAAGAAAT